AGGCAGAGCCTTGCCTTGTTAATATTCAGTCTGGCTTATCATGTGTCTGTGGGAGGCTATCCATACCCATTTCCTTGGGAATCTGCAGCTGCCTCTACTCCTGGCAGGTTATGCAGATATTATTGGGTTTGGCTGCAGCTGGAAAAAACAGGCAGTTTTCAAAGGCAGAGTCTCCCTCGAGTGGAACAACATTGCAAAAAGTTCGTTATTGGACTTGGGATATAGCGTGTGGTGGTCTCTCCATCATAGCCATGTGTTTGGAATTGGCAGGCTGTCTTCTTCTATAGGCATTGCCTTGTAGGATAATGATCACCAGCTTTTCATGAGATGATGCTGGCTTTGTTTAGAAGGTTCTCAGACTGATTGTTCACATATCACACCTTGTCCCCAAGAGCTATCTGCTATAGGTGAGTTAATTTGAGACATTTTTGGAAGAAGAGTCCTTTTTCTCTCCCTGTATCTCCAGGGAATGTTTCAGTGAAGTATCTGTAGGCATAGCTTTGGCGTGTTATCCTGGCAGCACCCATGACCAAGGGAGCTGGGAATGCTCAGCAAATTGTTACGTAAACGCTGCCGTTCTTCTGGCACTTGAGGGAACGTGGTATTAGTAAGCATTTGTCTAATACTGAAGATTTTTTGCAGATCAAAGACTTAATATATGCCACATGCTGCAGAGGAGCTTACAGCAGAACATGTACAATCGTGCAGTCCAATAGTCCAGCAAAAATGGATTACTCCAGAGCCAGTCAGTGCTGTTCACTATGTCTGGGAAGGGGCAGGATCGAAGGATGGGGGGATATTTGCTTCAAGATGTGTCAAGCAGCTCAAGCAGAATTCTCTGCACCCCGTAGTCGTGCAAGAAGTGGCCGAGGTGAGATCCTGGTGGCGCGGGGAGCGTTCCCTCCCGGCTGCCAAGTCCTGCCTGTGGACAAGTCTAATCTGCCTCCCAGCCAGCCCGCCCCAGCACGGGGTCAAAAAGTAATCGCTCCTAAGCAAAGCAGCAAAACAAGCAAAAGAGAAATTCTCACGCTTGCTTAGGGTGATTAGCTGGAGAGCGGATCACCCCGGGGGGGCTCTGTGGGACCCTGGGAAAGGCCAACGTGTGGGAATAGCATGGAGGGTCTGTGCTCCAGAAATGCTGGGCAGTATTGCTGGTAAAGCGGGAGAGCACCCCTTGCCTTACCCTGTGACCTTGGCCCAGCGTGTCGGATGCCATCCAGGAACTGGCAGAGAGGTACCCACGAGGACTGTTTTCAGTGACTCCTGGTTTTAGGTGTGATTCCGTTCAGGTTTGTGTTTTGAGGAAGCTGGCACAACTGTGGGCCATCAGAGCCTCCCTGCTTGCCTTTTTCTGGTGTCTTGTACTGACATTAATGCAGAGTTAAAATTGGTTTGGGTAATGAATGAATTTCAGAAAGAAAATGACTTTAAATGTGGTAGAAGTGTCTGCACAAGTGTTTCACTGTGGATGGATTTGAACTGAGCTTAGGCCCACTGAGGTGGCCCCAGAAAGGAACCAGAGTACGATCACGTCCTATTTTAATAAGCCTGCTTGGAAAGCCCGTTTGACAAACGGCCTTCCTCAATAACGTTGCCACAGGCTCTGGGCAGGGATTTGCACCAGGTCTCTTGGGGATTTCTGTAGCTGCCAATGCACTTGGAAGTAACAGAGAACTTCCTGCCCGATGGTCCCTTTGGCCCCGGGTGGAGGAAGCAGTTCACTGAGGTGCAGTCCCAAGGGTCTTTAGAGGTGTCCCTGGTAACAGCACGCTGAAAAAGCAGGAGGAAAACTGTGTTGGTTGAGTGGAGAAGAGGTTGTTTTACTTGTATATCAACACAGATGGGTACCCCCAGTTCCCTCATCCCAAGGCAACATCGTACACCTAGAGAGCCAGGCTGAAACCACCTTCCATCCACCCCCAGCCAGGCCCTTGGCACTGAAGCAGGAGGTGACTTTAGGATACAGACCGATGCCACAAAGCCCCCCAGCACTTCCGTGTGTGGCTCTGCCATCTCTTTGGACAGCGAGGGAGGGCTCCCACCAGAGCCATTTTTGGAGCAGGCCTGGGAAGTTCAGTTGTGCCTGATTGAGGTTGTCGTGCTAGAATGTGTCTCTCCCTATTTCCGAGCTCCCTGAGATTCCTCTCTGTTGATGGAGATTGATTTTTGCCTTTGGGAACCCGAGGGTGTACATTGTGCTCGGAATTGGCCTGAGCTGAACTAGGAGAAACTGCTGATGTGTTAGTTCCCTTCTGCAAGTGATGGATTTTGTAAGCTGCCTCATGAACCGTGTGTGGCTGAAAGGCACAGGAAAGGGAAGAGAGGGAAGTGAGAGACATCACCTATGGATGGCATTACCCACGTTGTGTCGGAGCATTTTACCCTCTCCAATTCACATCTAAATTCCTCTCCCATTCAGGGGAAAAATATAATCCCAGCCATCTACACATCTGTGGATTAGCCTTTTCTCTGCTGCGTTTTTCTGCTGACCATCAGGTTGTTCTCTTGAACGAGACAGGAAGGAAAACCATATAAACCAGCTTAAGAGACAACAGCCGCTCCTGGTGTCAGCAGTGCTGGTTCCAGCAGCTCCTGAACTGGACAGATGAGGTGGAAGTGAAGGTGATGGCCAAGGCTGGGGCAGGCTGGCTCGAAAGGTCAGGCAGGGGAGGGCTCCAGGGGTCACCCCCTTGAGTTAATGACTCTCCAGTCCCTAAGCCCACGCTGAGCACAAGGTGTTTGCCCGGAGATTAAGATGAAAATATGTTCTCCTTGCTAAAGAGAGCACATAAACAACCCATAAACGGCCCATTAACCCACAAAATCGCAATAAAGAACATGTGGTCAAGCGAGCCATCAGGGACCTGTGACCCAGCAAACCCCTTAATGGGATTGTGAACCTTATCATCGGTACTGAACATGGATAATGGGAAATTACGGCAAGGAAAGAAAGAAGGGGTGTTGGGTGATGGGCACCCGGGTTTCAATGAGTAAAATGTTGTGGAATGGACGTGTTATGGGATGGAATATCAGGGTAACACTTTCATGTAATAAAACTACTTCAAAGTGACTCAAAAGAGACAGTTTTCCCATCGACTCCAGCAAATACCTTTGGCAGCTGAAGAAGCTGTGCTGTCCCTTCTCTTACAGCCTCTTCCATGTACCAGCCACTTCTGTGCTCCACGTTGCTTTTTGAAGCAATAGGATGGACATTTACTTGTTTTCTATCTGTGATGTTTGAATTCTGTTTGAATACAAAAGTTTATTGTAGGTCACTTGTGCAGTTTGAGCAGGAGGACGATGGAACATGCATGGTACAGGTACTCTGCCATCTCATTCCACCCCCTGCTTGGGCAGGGACACCTTCCACTAGCCCAGGTTGCTCCAAGCCCTGTCCAACCTGGCCTTGGACACTGCCAGGGATGAGGCAGCCACAATTTCTCTGAGCAACCCATGCCGGGGCCCCACTACCTCACAGGGAAGAATTTCTTCCCAATATCCCATCTAACCCTACCCTCTGGCAGTGGGAAACCATTCCCCCTTGTCCTGTCACTCCAGGCCCTTGTCAGAAGTCCCTCTCCAACCTTTCTGGAGCCTGCAGGAAGATGAATGCCTCGTGATGGGAAGGCTGCTGTAGCAGTGGGACAAGGTACTTGGGTGCCCAGGGAATTCCAAAGGCATTTATGATCACAAATATACTTTCAATCAAAAAGAAATCTATATTATCTATGTTGCCCTAACTGATGAAGAAATGAACTTGCATCAACCTTTGCTGAATAATTTAGGAAGAAAGCTATGAAAGTTTATTTAAGGAAAAAGCAAAGGAGGAAAGGGCATGTTTGTTACTGGTTCCTTTTTTTCCCATCGCAAATTGAGATTCTGTTTACCCTGGAAAAATCAATGTGGTTGGACACCTGGTGTAATTAATTATTTTGCAAGAGACAGCCAGCTGATCTTTTGAAAAGAAAGGAGTTTTTAAGCAGGACTGTTCAAAGTTCATAGTCTGCTGTGTATCTCTAATGCTGATAAACATCCAGCAGAAAGGATGCCTGTCTTAAAATTTCCCGTGGCCACACCTTCGTTTTAAGGTGATACCCTCAGAAAAAGGCTGTAGACCCCAAGGAGCCCTCCAGCAAGGTGACTCTGGCGGCGTGGGCTCTGCTTGCCTTTGGCAGATGCCCTTAGGCCTTGGGATGTGGACACCGATGCTCGTGGGTTTGAATTTTGAATCACACATGGTTCTTAACCAGGAAGGGGGTTTCTGCTCCTTTTTCTTGAGCTCTGAATGCAAATGGACTTTGCTTGTGCTGTATGTTAAACTTTTCCCTAAGCGGGCAGTCTTTTCCAACTGGGACCAGTTGTTTCTTTTCAGTGCACTGGTGCCTGACTAAATGGCATTGGGTCGCATTCTTCATGTATAGATGAGACAACCCTCCTGTTAAATATTCCTGTGTTTTCCAGCGGTGGGCTGGGGAAGTTCCTGCCTGCCTTGCAGGCCAATGGCAACCCAAACCTGACTGCCAGGGAGGGAGGGGAGAGCCAGCAATGGGATGCTGTGCCAGCACGCCTCAAGTTGGTTTGGCCGGAACTGGTTTTAGGTCATATAAAAAAGTGGGTGAAGGATCTGGGCTGCTCAGAGAGCGGCAGGTCCTCGGGCAGCGCCGTAGAGCACATTGGTTTTGAGCCCCTTAGCGCTTTTTTTACAAGGGCTACAAATTGCTGTAACATAGTTAAGGTCCATAGGAAGGGACAAGTTTTCCTGAACTTTACTCCCAGCTTGAACTTGTCAGAAGTTCAGTGAGAGGCAAGGAAGGGGAGAGAGAGAGAGAGAGGTAGAGGCTCCCTGGCTCTCGCCCCTGCGTCCGCGGCGACGAGGATGTCAGATGGCAAAGGCAGCCTGGACAAGCAGCTGAACGGCCTTGGGGAGCAGGGGAAGGAGAGGAGCCGCCTGTCCCTGGTCATCTCCCAGGCCCTTAACCGCAGTATTTTCACCTCTGCAGTCTCCCCCGCTGCCGAACGCATCCGCTTCATCCTCGGAGAGGAAGATGACAGCCCAGCGCCCCCGCAGCTCTTCACCGAGCTGGATGAGCTCCTGGCCGTCGATGGACAGGAGATGGAATGGAAGGAGACTGCAAGGTGGGTTGGTTTTCCTTTACCCTGAATGGCGAGGGCAGCCAGCAGGACTCCTGTGGCAAATTCCCTTTTTAGCCTTCCGTTGGGTAGTACCTGTGCTGCAGGACCATGTGGGGTAGCCACAGAAAGGAGCCTGTGTGGTTCAAATTACCTTTCTTTGATAAACAAGAGAACTGAGGGTTTGTTTAAATGTTCCTTTAGAGCAAAAACTAGGAAAAAAACGGAGTGCCAGTTTGATTGGAGTAGATTGCCTGTGGAGAGACAACTATGGGCTTTGCACAGGGGGACGTGTCTTCTGGCCAGAGTTGCCTGAAGTGAGTGCCTGAGTCAAAACTGCTTCAGCTCTGTTGCCTCAGAGTAGCTCTTGAGCCTGGTCCCACTGCACACCACAAGCAGGGAAATTTTGGCTGTCACTCTCCTTCCTAATGGTGAGATTAATTTTAAATAGGGAAAGAAACTTAAAGGTTTTGCTTGTGAAGAAGTTATTCAAGGTGTGTTTTAAATGCTAGATGGGGTTGCCTGCTTTGAGTTCCTTGGTTCTGTTCTTTGATGCTGCTGGTTTTTTGTCAAAAAGCCATAAAAAAAGGGAGTGTTTTGGATCTAGTTGCCACAATTTACATGGAGTTTATTTCTAAATACCACTGAAAGAGGCATTGGATTGGATTTGTGACCTATTCCCACTCACCTTCAGTGAGCTTGGGGCTTTTCCTTTTCCTTTATGGTGGCTGGGCTAAGCTCTTTCCCCACCTCCCACTGTTAAGGGCACCATCCTTGTTCATAATTAGCCCATGTTTGGTTACCTTAATCTTCTTTACCTGCAGTTTAATGAGCCACTCCACCACATACCCATTTACCCCCTTATCCTCCTTCATTTATACTTCTCAGTCACTTGGGGAACCTATTTAACAACTTCTCACCTTTTACTCTTTAACTTCTGATTTGTTGCCCATCCTTTTCTCCCTTTATTGCTTTTCTTCCCTCTTGTCATTAGTTCAGTACTTTCTGGGTCTGGGTGTTTTCGCAGTTCTTTGGTAGAAGGGCTGCATGGAGCTGTGTGTGGGATTCTCTCTCAGGCTCTTCTCCCTAGTTACAAGTCATAGGATGAGAGGAAATGGCCTCAAGTTGTGCCTAGGGAGGTTTAGCATGGATACTGGGAGAAATTTCTTCACCCAAAGGGTTGTCTGCCCAGGATAGTGGTGCAATCCCCATCCCTGGAGTGATTTAACAGGCACAAACCACCCTCTTGTGCCCCTTGGGCCCTGGAAACTGCACCGACAGCCCCAGCAAGGCTCCCCTGGCACTGGGCGCTTCAGAACTAGGTACCTGTCAGCAGCAGTGGCTCCAAGGGGCTGAGATTTGCAAGAAAAATCTGTCCCCAGTGCACTTGGTGGGCTCCAGAATGATACCCCGTGCCTGGGAGCCATCGGCACGGTCCGTGTGCTCTGGAGACAGCTCGTATCTCTGCCAACCGGGAGGCAGAAGGCATCTTTCATTTTGTAATTTTAGAGCTGCAGAAAGGGTTGTGTGAATGGTGTGTTGATATTATCACGTGTAAAAGGGTGAAGGATATAAATGTACTGCCTGGCAGAGCTTATGTAATTAAAAAAGGCCATAATAGAAGTTTAAAAAAAAACTCTGTCCATCACCCCACAGTCCTGTCATTTCCTTTTCTCTGTGATTCTATCACCTTCCTGCCATCTCCCTGCCTTATAGAACAACAGTCCCCACCCTACAGTGGCATCTTGATCCTCAGAAGGTCCCACTGAGCCTCAGAACAGTCTGGGGGCCTCCAGCTGCTGCAGGTTTTTTCCTTTTCCTACTTTCCTTTGTATCCTGTGACTACTTCTGGAATGCAGGCATTCCCAAGCTAGCACAACCTGGTTAGTGGAAGGTGTCCCTGCCCATGGCAGGGGGTCGGAACAAGAAGAGCTTTGAGGTCCCTTCCAAGCCAAACCATCCTGTAATTCCTTGAATAGAGCAGGCATTAGTTCACCCAGGTTTGCAAGCTAATATTTGTTTTATTGTGTTGATATTGTGGATTTTCAGTGAGAAAAGTAAACAGAAAGCAAATATTGATAGTTGTGAGTAATCACTTTCCCTGGAAGGACAAACACTTGGTAATTTTCAGCCTTCCTGCTGTTACAGGGTAAATATGTCTCAGTCCCACATCCCACAGAGCCCCGGAAATGCACAGATTTGCATCCCCCCAGGTCCCAAAGGTGTCCTAGGAAACACCTGTTTTTTGTGAACTAGAAGAACTTTATTAATTGGAGATGAAAATCAATCTTTTAGCTTGAGTTAAAAAGCAGCTTTAAAAAAACAAAGTCTCAAAAAGAGATTATTGCAATTGTAAAGCATAATTGATTAATCCCCAAGTAATACATTTTTCAGGATTAAATACAATTTACTTGCTGTTAATAATATTCTTTTGAACCCATTTATGAGCCTCCTTACCTTTACCTTTTTGTGGGGGTTTTGTCTTAGTAATCCCCTTATATTAGTCACTGGAATTTTCATTTTCCACATATATTAAAATGTGTCTGAAGAGGGGATTAAAAAGCACTTCTGCTTTTGCCATCAGGGGATATTGAAACACCTTCTCCTGCGCCCCCACTTTACATCAAAGCCGTTTCTGGGTGCTGTGGTAAAGGAAAAAGGTCTGGACCAGGTCCCAGCTGCCCATCCCTGCGGACTCCAGGCTGGGCACAGCAGAGCCAAGGGCAGGGTCAAGGCTGGAGGGGGAGGTGGGGGTGGGCTGCAGCCCAGGGAATTGGACTTGGTTTTAGGGGTGTAAGGTATGTTTTGCTCAGACCAGGATTTAACCTTTGCTCTCACCTTCCACCAGAGATAAGCTTTCTGGGTTTTTCAGACCTGCTTGGTTAAATCATTAAACAGTGGCTGGAGGGAAAGAACGAGCCCCTCAATTTGTGTCTTGTCCTTTGGTGGCTCACTTGTTCTCTAAGAACACCTTCAGATGTGGTTGGGATGTGCTCCTGTCCATGGCACAGCAGTATTCCATGCTGCAGAGTTCTGGCAGTGGCTGATTTCAGAATCCTTTAGGTTGGAAAAGCCCTCTAAGATGATCGCGTCCAGCCATTAACCAGCACTGCCAAGACACTCAAGGACAAGCCACCTTATTTCCAGAAATGCTGATTTATTTCCCTGCAAGGAGCCAGCAGCTTTAACCCAGTCCTGTTGCTCTGCCCTCTGTAGGTGGATCAAGTTTGAGGAGAAGGTGGAACAAGGTGGGGAGCGATGGAGCAAACCGCACGTGGCCACCTTGTCCCTGCACAGCTTGTTCGAGCTGAGGACGTGTATAGAGAAGGGCTCCATAATGCTGGACATGGAGGCCTCTTCCCTCCCACAGGTGGTGGGTAAGTACACCTGCCTTGGCTCTTTCCCTCGGCCCTTCCCCACCAATTTTTTTAACCCTGATACGGTTTTAACGGTGGTTTTAATGTAAAAGCGCTGCTTTTTCCATAAAAGAGGAAAAGAAAGAATCCTCCAAGGAATAAGAGGGAAAACTAGAAAGCCCTAGGCTGTGTTTAGGATGGGGCACTCTCCCCTAGCAAGGGAGAGGGGAGAGCAGCCCCAGCCCTAGCTGGAGCTCCACCCCATGGAATTGGAGGGCAGGTTTCTTGCAGTCAAAATAGCTGTGGCCTGGAGTGACACTCAGTGACATTGCTGAGAGCCAGGTCATGCTCCCCATGGCACGTGAGAACTCACAGAAAATAAACTTTCAAAGTGAGCCATCCAGTGGAGGGACCAAAACAAAATGCTGAATTTAAAAGCCATTATGTGAGGAGGTGTAGAAGAGCTAAATGAAATATCTGCCCCCCTCTTCCCCCCCAAAAAAACAACTCAGTGCTTTGAATTATCTTCTCAGGAAGCAAGGTCAAAATTATCCTGGCATGGAATTGTCAAATACAAGGAGTTGCACTGGTTTGTAAGACCTGGAATTACAAAAGCTGCCTCTGGTGTTAAATGCAGAGTTTTGAGCTTAGTTTTGTAAGTGCTTTTGGTGGCATTTATCTTCCTTTGCTTTTGTGTCTGTGTATCCAAATGCACAGCTTTGCAAAGTTTAACAAAATGAACCCCCCAAAACCTCTGAACTTTTAGGCTGAAGCTGAACCTGCTTCAGAAGCAGCAGCTGATGTCCGTGGTCTGGAACCTTAAACCCTCAAACATTAAATTTCCTTTTGAAGTCCCTTTGAGATGTCACCTTCAATCTCCTGCTTCAATTTCCAAATTAAATCTAATTCCTGGGAGATTAAATTACACGTCAGTGACTGCTGTTGTTGTGGCACTGTGACACCATCCTGAGCAGGGTATTTTTGCTGGTCCAGACCCTTAATCAGACAGGTAGGGATGTCCAGGACTGGATTTCCAGGATGATTTAATCACGATCACTTGGCTGGTGTCTGGTAGTGACACGTAGGAAAGGAAAACTCCAAAGAAAAGCTCTCTTTGTTGTTTGTGTTATGTCAAGAAGAGGGAAGGGAAGATGCCAGATAGAGAAGGATAAACTTAATGAAGGTTCTGAAGAAAATATTCCAAAAATCACTAACCAGAGCCATGTACAAGAAAAGCTATAGAAAAATGACACTTTACAAAAATCAACCTTTTCCTGAACATTTTGTGTAAAGGTACCTACGTGCATGTACCCACCCTGTCCTAATTTGGGAGGAACAACTAGTCTCTTCCCTAGGCATTTGGAGAGGTACTAATTCTTGGGCAGCACGCAGAGGATGACTTTCTGACTCACTGAGTTAGCAAATGTGATGTGTGTCCTGCCTCCCCCTTCCCATAACTTTTATTATTAGCACAAATAAAAGTTACCAGCAGACAAATAAGAGCTGCCACTTGCCCTCGGGGGACAGCGCGTGAATTCAAGTCATCAAGGAATGACTTCGTGTGAGATTTAATGCGCAGTGGAGATCCTTCATACATCTGGTGACCTTTTTGCCTTTTTCCTCTGGGATAGGGAAAGGAGGGAATTGGTGGGAAGTGAACAGGCTTCGAGGGGGCTGGGAGCCTTTTCTCCTGGTGATTCTGTGAAAGGCAAAGCCACGTAACTCATCCTGTGGCAATTAGAGCAAGTTCTGCCGCTCGTAGTTGACATCACTTCAGTCCTGCAAGTGAATGATTTAATTAGTTGCTCATCTCCAGCATTTTTTCCTCTCCTGAGATTAGGTTTTACTGGGGGCCCGTGAGGTGAACTCAGGCCTTGTTGAATCCGATAGAAGTTGTTCCATGTGATTTTTGGGAGCACAATGGCACTTGCCACGGAGTTATAGCTTCTTCACGAAAATCTAGGCTCAGAGCTGATTCCCTTCTCAAACTAAGAACCAGCTTACCCTGGGTACAGGTGATTTGGAATAGGATTTGTGGCATGTAGGAAATAGCAAAGGAAGTCTCAGTGCAATACCTGTGTGTTGGTGGCTCACGCTGGATGGAAATGCTTTTGTTACTTTTCAAAAGAAGTGTCTAAAAAAGACTCCCAGAAAAATAAAACCTGGTTTTGAGATGGGGAGCAAAGCCCTCAAAAAGGTGGGGTGAAAACGATCCGTCCCCCTCTCCCTGCCCTCCCTGGAAGCAGCTGAGTTTTGAGCTCTGTGGTTAATTTTGCCCTCCTCTCCCCTGCCCTTCCTGTGCCTGCCACAGAGATGATCGTTGACAATCAGATCGAGACGGGGCTGTTGAAACCCGAACTGAAGGACAAGGTCACCTACACGCTGCTCAGGAAGCACCGGCACCAGACCAAGAAATCCAACCTGCGCTCGCTGGCTGACATTGGAAAGACCGTCTCCAGTGCAAGTAGGATGTTTTCCAACCCCGATAATGGTAATGCAGAGGCTAAGTGGCTATAGCCTTCCCTGTCACGGCAACCCACCCAGCCCAGCCCAGAACTAACTGCGTGGCCCTGACAATGCTTCTCTAACCCCGAGTAGCGTAGCGAGACCCGTGCTGATGGCACATCAGCAGTGGGCTCTGGAGGCTGCTTTGGCCCTGGCACGGCGCTCTAACCACATCTTCACTGGACTGAGAGGGACAGGAGGGCAGGAGGCAGCAGCCGGGGAAGGCAGAGGGATGCCCTTCCAGCTGCGTGGAGGAGATGATGTAGGAGCAGCGACAGGAAAGAGGGGTTTACAAAAAACTCTGATGGGGCCTGGACCTGAAAGGCCGATCACCTGAAATGTTTGGGCAGAGACGAAACTTCCATGCACGTTCCACGTCTGTAACAGACGGTGTCGGTGGCACTCCAAATCAAAAATGAGCTGGCAGTAATATCTAGCTTGCATTTTATTGCTGTACAATCATTGTCCAGTGGGGTGAAGCTGATTTCCATCTTGCTTTATTCGTCCTGAAATGGTTCTGTGGTGTGTGTCGTGACTACGTCTCTTTTTGTCTCTAAGAAGGGTGTAATAGGTAGTGCTGTGTTGGTAGTGGTGTCCCTGAATGAGTGTGTGTGTGTGGATGCAGACAGCTACAGAGGCCCGGGCACTGACTGTACTTGCCCCTGCATGGAGATTTGGGGTCTTCTTACTCATGGTAATGAAAAAAGAGGAGTTTTGAGCCTCTCAACTGTCTCCTGTGGCAGTCTGGAAATTGGGCTAAACGCTGCCATTTTAAAACACCCAGGAACAAAAGCAAGTGAAGAAATTCTTTTCTTCTTGCTCCACCGAAGGCCTCTGAGCTTGCTGCGTTCTGCTGCTACGACTCACCCTAACACCTCTCCCTAACCTATTATCACACTTCATTAATATTTCCTACTTTGGATCATCCTTTCCTTTTGCAACAGGAGTGTATGTGCCTGTGGAGAATATTTATTGCTCTTGATGATGCCTCTTGTCGTGTACGAGTGCCTGGATAACAGAGTCATTGAGCAAGTAACCTGAACATGCAATAACGTGAACCGAGGGAATGTTCTAGGTGAATATCCCTGCAGGAGGGACTGGGTTCTGGGAAGCACTGCAAGGAAATTCTGGCTCTGGGGAAGGGCTCAGCATGGCCAGATGAGCCCTCACGTTTTCACTCAGCCCTTGCTCATTTTTCATGGCTGTGGGCATCCTTTACTTTGAAATCACCTAAAATCCATGTCATTCATTTCTCGTTCTTGTTTGAAAGGGCTTCGCAGGTCCTGGTTCAAGTTGGACTAATCTCCAGGAATTCTATCCTGGCTCTGGCCTTCAGCCACTCCTTTCGTGTTGTTCTGCCTCTGTTCCCCCACCTGAGATGTTTATATTCCATGACAATTCAAGTGCTTTGATACTTTAGGAGGGCGAGACTGGCATACAGAGGGAAATACCTCATGAATAGTTGTTACTGTTATTTATTATTTACACTTTAATGAAAAAGTAACTTCAGAACGTGTTCGATCAAGTTCTACCTCGGATTCAATGAGTGCCTCTCATGTCCTTTAGACAGATAAAAATTTGATGAGGCCAACAGGAGTGCAGCTGTCTCTCAACATGGCTAATCACCGTAATGCACATGCCTCCAGCCCCAAGCGCTCCTAAATTTCCCTCGAGTTCCTTTCCAGGTTGGTGTTCGCTTTCACTTCAGTGTCAGTGAAACTTCCATCCGATATTGATGCTGCCTCTGGGTCTGTGGGACCCTCTGAGCATCCTCCTCCCCAGGTACAACAGTTTTATGGGCTGGTGTTGCTGCTGCCCGGCTCAGCAGGGACACCTTCCACCAGACCAGGCTACTCCAAGCCTGTCCAACCTGGCCTTGGACACTTCCAGGGATGGGATCTATTTGTTAGATCTGAAATCTGGAAATAGCCCCTGGGCCTTGGCTCTCGAAGATCCCGAGGTGCCTGTACCTCACTTAGTTCAGAACACTTAAAGAACTGAAGTCTCAGGGGCTCCAAAATGTTCTTATTTACACATGTTGATTGTTCATGTTGATGGAACTCCTGCAGGGATTTTTGACAGGTGCATGTCTGGTTTTGTTGAGTGACTTTGTACAAGTTCTTTGTGTCCCTTCCTGGCACAGCCCTTGTCCTGGAGCCCTGGAGCAGTACGTAACACCTGGGCTGGAGCTCTCCAGCTGGCACACCTTGGGCTTTGCCACAGTATAACGTGGGCTGTGTGGTCACTGTCCCTTCTGCAGATGCCCGAGGTCTGCCTGATCGATATTTACCAGCCCTCTGTGATGACATTTGCTATCCATTTTTGACATTTTTCTTTCAGAGCTTCGTGCCTGCCAGCGTTTTGTATAATTTAACACCTGTGGGAGCCTTTGGCAAGTGAGAAAACGATCCACTCCCACTAAACCCAAGCTGGGTTAGAGGCTGTAGAAAACTGCGATGTGTTTTAAGTGTGTGTGTTTAACCACCATAAATAATGGCACGATCCCATCGCCGCGTGGGTGCTGCCTGTGCTGCCCAAACTCCTCCTGAGCCGTGTTAGTTCACACTGTGCTGATAGAGGGGTTTGGAAACACTTGACTTGAAATAACAGGCTGTCTGTGCAGTGCTGGCTGATGCACAGAGAGGAGGGTGCCTGGCTACAGGTGAAAACTTCTCTGAAGTCTTTATTCTGTGTATTCCACTATACCAGGTTGCTCCAAGCCCTGTCCAGCCTGAACTTGGACACTTCCAGGGATGGGGCAGCTACAGCTCCTCTGGGTTTGGCTTTAGTCAGTTCAGTGATGTTTTTTTTCACATGAACTGCACCCTCAGTCCCTTTAGAGAGTTAACAATGGCACCAGCTGAATAATATCAGCACAGAGGAGAGGAGTTGAAGTCAGAAATGAGATGTTTTCCAAGGAAGGCTTGGAAAACCCCTACCAGTGTACGTATTGGCATGACTGGAAGCTTTGCAGACTAAGGTGGGCATCTCCAAGCCCCGATTGGTGTGCCTGGTATGTATGCATGGGGTCAGGGTGCTCAAAATTGGCTCCTACAGGGACGTGGCCTGATTTTTGTTGTCAAAAACCTCTTGTTACTGATGGTGCTGCATCCTGGGACACTTCAGCACCACCAGCACTGCAGCTGCTCACTCGCTTCCTTGAGATCTGCTTCTGAGATGCCTCAATTTTAGACACCAGGGATGGAAAGCTGGCTCCAGCCCTGCCAAGATGGAGCTGCGGAGGAGATGTTGGGATCTAAATGAGTGGGCTTTGATCACCGCAGTGTGCGCATCAAACTCTCTCCTTGCCTGGCTTCCCCCCTGCTGCTGCTCCAGCCTTTCTTCCTCGCATAATTTCATTTTCTTTTCTTTTAACTTTTCCCCTTTGCTCTCTTCCTGCTCTTTGCTGCTGCTCCTGTCTCCTGCTTGCCGGGCACAAGCACGCAGCCCGCTCGAGAGCTCCGTGCCCTGCCTGGCCACCCGCACCTTGGATGATGAACTGGGAGTGCAGCGCAGCCCCAGCGTGGGATGGCTCAGTAAGTCCCGGGCAGGGCTCAGGGTGGGCTCAGGGCTGGGGGCCAGGAGAGGAAGAGGGAACTTGCCCCAGCCGGGCTCCTAACGCTTGCTGCTGCACTAACAGTGGGAAAAGCATGGATGTGTTCCGTGGGGAATGGGGCTGCTCTGGCTGTTTGTGTTATCCACACTGTCCTCTCCACTGCTCTTGTTTTGCTCTGTTTTCCTTTTTTCTTTCATCTGGAATGAAGCAGGTGGGTCAGGCCATGCTCCCCTTCTGACGGGGGTCTAAGCTCTCTGGTGGCATTTTTTTCATCTAGAGAAGTATTCTTTGGCAGTTAAAGGGGTTTGAATATTTTAACTTCCATATAAATTAACCTCAAAAATAGGCTGTCGGCTTGATCTCTCAGGGATGAGCTGGACTGTTCTGCCTTTTGTAACATCTGATTTATCTAGTTGTGCTTGGCTTCAGCTGTGCCAATGTGCCAATGTTCCTGGACGTGGCAGGAGCACACAGCAGGTATAGTGTGGTTCCAGGTGGCTCACAAGAGGGAATACTTTCAGTCTACCCATGTGTTGTAAAGAAAACCCAGCTCTGGGGAGTCCAGAGCTTTTTCTTCCCACTCCTTTGGTTTTTCACTCCCGGTGCTGCTTTATTATTGAGTTTGTTTGTGCTGGGAGCTGATGAGCACTGAGAACTTGGACATTCCTTTTAGTGTGAATATCAAGTCAATATTGTCTCAAAGCATACTTGTTTGTTGCCTGTTTGTTTGTGTTTTGGTGGTTTGGGGTTTATTTATTTATTTATTCTGCTGTGTCTCTGGGGATTGTCTTCGCCTCCCTGGTGAATTTGGTGTCAGGAATTGGTGACTTTTGTCCTGTCAGTGTGGTGCATGTGTTCTAATCAGTGCATTGCTTAAGGTTCATGAGCTTACTTAATGGGCTCACTGGAGTGAGGGAGATGTTTATTAGGGGCTGTTGTGAAGGACCAGGAGCTGCCACTCTCCCTCTCTGTGTGAGCTGTGTACAGTGTCTGGGATGCTGAGGAGGGCAGGTGCCATCCACGTAGAAGAACTGAGGTGAGGGATTTGCACCCTTGGAAGGTCCCAGCTCTGTGGAGGGATGGATTTGTGGTGGGTCCTGGGTGACCCAGTACCATCAGTGTCAGCAGCCTGGTGCTGCTTTGCTTTTTCTCCCACAGGCAGGAGTTATGGAAGGTCATTGGACTCTTTTGCTGTCCTGGGAGTCACAGGAACGCTGTGAGTCGGAGATGACGGAGCATTAGCATCTTAAATCTCCCATGTGCCACATCAAGTGACAGAAAGCAGCCTGTCAGGGTCTGGAATTCCCCCCATCAGCCTCCCAAGGAAAGGTGTTGCTGTAGCCTGAGCCTCTGTGTTCTGACCAGATCCAAACAGGTGCTTTAACTTGTGTTGGCCTTGTTCCTACAGGCAGCCCAGCCATGGCTCACCGAAACCTGACTTCCACCAGCCTGAACGACATCTCAGACAAGCCTGAGAAGGACCAGGTAAGCTCCAGGTCCAGCCTTCACTTGAGGATGTGTATGGAGAGGAGCTGGGTGTTGAGGAAAGGGCTCTCTGTACCTTAGCATGGAAAAAGAAGAGGGTGAACAAGCATTTTTGAGCCCTCTGACTGGATCCTCCACTTTTTAAGCACCAGCCCTTGAAAACAGCAGGTTAAACTCTTACAAGGTCTGAAGGAAGTGATACCACATACACTGCCTCTTGCTGATAGCCATGAGAAGGGAGGGAAAATATCCATGGCCTGATGGAGTTCTGATCCTCTTCCTGCTGAAGGATTACAAGGGTCCTGCAACACCCCAGGATGAGTGTTCACAGGGACTATGGGATAGAGCAGGAGCACTAAGGGGGCACATGTCCCTGCTACAGCAGCTGGTGGAACAGGGAAGGTGACTGTGCTGACAGGTAACATGGAAGAGCAGCTCCAAAGTGGAGTAATGAAGTTAAAATTGGCCTTTAGTACCGAGTCTCCATGGATCTGACCCCTTTCTTAGACTAGGGTAATGTTTGTGCTGTGGCGTACGGGCTGTCTTTGTCTGTGCTTCCGTCCTTTCCGAAGGCTGCCGGCTCTGAGGGGTAAGAGTGAGTTTATTCCAGCTCTTAGAAAACTGGTGGCTGAATGAGGTCTCTGTGCAAGTTTCAAAAAACCTTTTGTCTGGGTTCAAAAAGTGGGTTATTCTCAAAGCCCGGCTGTTTCTTTCGGAGAATCCCTTTTTTTGCCCGCGTCTTTCAGCATTCCCTAGTCCCATGGTGATTCTGAATGCAAATGAGAGTCCCTTTGGAAAATTATTTGGGTAAGACAGCATTGCTGGCCAGTTGAGAATGACTCCAGTCCTTCAACAATGACTGGTCACAACCATCTGTAGGTACAACCTTAAAGGGACACAGCAACATAATCAAGGTAGAAAAGTGAGGTCAGAGTAATTAAATATTTTAAAAATAAATAGATATTTGCATAAATAAATATACTTTCATGGAAAGAGAAGGGGGGCAGAGTGTTTTGCACTGACCTCAGTGTCATGCAGTGTTGTAGCCTCATCTGTACAGACTGGGTTTCTAAAATACCTGGTTTCCTTTAAATTCACATAGCCACACCTGGGGAAAGAGGAAGATTGTAAAACAGCTTTTTGTTGTTGGACAAACTGCTGGTTTATATTTTTAATCCCATTATAACTGGGGTTTTATAGCTAGACCAGCCCGAAGCTGGGGCTGAACATTGCAGCAGCTTCACAGCTCTCAGCAGTGCAGACAGGCCCCATTGCCCCTCCTGCTCCAGTGTCTCTGGCCATACAGATAATGGACTTCTTGTGGAGAACTGGGTATAAAAATAGACGTTTTGGTAACACTAATAGGGAAATCTGTTAATAAATCCAGTTCGGGAGCAGGCTCCAAAGTTTTTAACTTCCAATGTAGATAATGCCTGGCTGTTGGTCGTCAGAACCATTACTTGATAAGTGTCGAGTTCCAAAAAGCCTCTCAGTTAATTAGCCTGTGTCCTGCTGATGAACTTTGCACACTGGGAGCCATGTCCCCTATGCCTTGAGAAATCACCTTAGAGCTCAGTTTTTGTTGCTGACTGACTCAGACTCCTGCCTTGATAAAGTTTGTGGCATTGTGGTGATGCCTGGCAACTCCCTTGAGCAGAACTCAGCGTGCCGTACGGGGGGCACAGCAATAATCCATCATGTTTCCACAACAGGAGCTGGAAAGGGAACAGGTTTTCTTGCTTTGGCAGCAGAGTGACTGGCTTTTGTTATTCAGGCATCCCATCTGGGAACTGGACAGTTAGTGAGGCCATACAGGGAGGTGGGAGTCTGCTGGAGACACAGAATATTCCAATTTTTATTTACTCATGTGAATAAGAACTGCAGCCGGTGAGGTCAGTTTACAACAGTTGCTTGGAGCAGGACTGCCTTCCTACATCCTTAATGAATCCCTGGTTTTGCAGAGACAGAGGATTGTGTCCCCATGCTTTAAAGGAAGGAAGGCTTTGAGCTAACTTATCTGTACCTTTGGGAACTTTCCTGACTTCCTACATCCTTAATTTTCAGTTTTGCAACCTTTAATGCTATTTGGAATGGTGCAATTAACAGTATAGGTATTATGTAGCCAGAATATTCCTTTAATCTGTGGCTTCCCTGCTCCTTTCCTCTGGATATGTTGTAAGGTTCAGGTTTCACATGGGCTCGTGCCCCTTGGACAGTTGCCTGTCAGAGATCTGAGCTGTCAGAGAATCCTCCCAGACTCATCCCTCCTGCTGCTCTCCCAGCAGTGCCAGGCAGCTCTGCCTGGCTCAGAGGTGTTATTTATGAATACTGAATCAGGTAGTTTGCATCAGCCGACTCTCTCTGCCATGGGAATGATGGCTTGATCCTTTGGGATTGCAAAGAGGCTGGCTCAGCATCCCCAGCGTCCTGCAGGAGCCGGCAGGGCCCTGACTCAAACCCCTCCGATGAGAAAGAGCTTCAGTAGCGGCCCACGGACTTGGGGGTTGCTGTTTTGTCATGTCTTTGCTTTGGGCTTGTTTGGAGTTTTATAAGGATAATTAGGGAAGAGGAGCTGTATTCCCTTTCATTGTGTTTGTGTTGGCAGAGCACTGCTCCTGAGGTCGCAGCATGGAGAAGGGATTTGCCTCCATTTGTTTTATTTTAGGAGATGTTGGCTGCAGGTAATAGGTTGGGCATTCACAGCTGGAGAGACAAGTAGTGGCACTTTGGGACAATTTATTCTTCTCTTCTGTTTTCCAATTAATACATGAGCATCTAGGCTTCTTGCTCTCTCCTGGACTCCCAGCTCTCTGCTGCCAGATGCATCAGTGGTGTCGGTGCCGTGTCCATAAAACCAGGACTTCTCACGGCAGTAGAATTCCTGCAGCTCTTGAAGGTCAAGCTCTTGGATCAAGATTTTGTTTAACTCTGTATTCACAGAATCCCAGACTGGTTTGAGTTGGAAGGGACCTTAAAGCTCATCTTGTTCCGCAACCCTTCCGTGGGCAGGGACACATTCCATTATCCCAGGTTGCTCCAAGCCCCATCCAGCCTGGCCTTGGACACTTCCAAGAATGGGGCAGTCACAGCTCAGTAATTCAAAAACATTTAAAACTCTTTTTTTCAGCTTATGTGTGAAGCAAAGGGGTTGAAAGGAGTCCTCTGGTGCCGTGGTGCCAGCAAACCATAGGAGGCTGGGGAAGTTCCTACTGCTGTTCCCACTCCGGTCCCTCCTCCCGTGAGAAATCCTTTGGCTGTGCTCTATTAGAATGTCCTTGGCACCTCTGAGTGGCTGAACCACCAGGACTCTTCCAGTGCTCAACATGTAAAATGAAGGAACATGAAAGAAAATCTGTTTTCCCAGGGACCTGCTATTCCTGAGCTGATGCAACAGCATACAGAAAAGGAATGTATGTTGATATACGGGGAGTTTCCTGACACGGAATTATCTCCGCTTCCCAAGGGCTTGGAATTGGGACAAACCTGGCTCTGAATGAATGTGGTCAGTGAGAGGGAGGCACAAAACCCTCCCTATTTGTTGTGGTGTGGGCACTGTGTATTCAAAGCAGTGTTTCCATATCAACAGGGGATCTGTGCCAAAGCCAGCACTGCAGTTAAAAAAGAAATTGGCCTTGTTGAGAGAAACCTTCCTGCCTTTCCTGGGGACCAGTAGATGGGGAGGGAACTGGCAGGATCCCACTCTTGGGAATGCAGTCCAGTGATTGATAGTGGGAGCCATTCGCTGCTTTTCCTGTTTGAACATCTCCTCACCTCCACAGTTGCAAGCAGACATTCCCAATTTTGAGGTCTGTCAGCCTGGGTGACCTACTTTCACTCCATGGAGCTCCAATGGAAATTATTGTTTTCCAGTACAGATCACTACCACCTTTCTGGAGAGAAGGAAGAGTTTCCAGGAAGTTTAGTTAACTGGGATTTCCTTTACTTTGGCCATTTTTCGTGATGCAGAGAGCAGGGTTGCTTGCCTGGTTTCTCCCCATATCCACAGTGCACTGCTAAAGTATCCCTGGGTGATGGAGCAGCCTGGAAGGTCCCCCTTGAGGCAGGTGTTCATGGAATAAGTTATGGGAAAGACTATAAGCTATATGTGAGCAGATACAAAAAGCAGAGAGACAGAGGCAGGTTCAAATTCCTGGGGGAATTAACCTTCCTTAAGTGCTACTTAGGAGTGTGTACTTAGGAGCTGCTTTCATTTCCCATCGATCCAAAGTGATGATGATTGGAGTGTACATTTAAGGAAATTGGAATTTTCAGGTTGCTGTGCCTTTTTGCAACTGCAGTGCTGGGGACCTGCGGCCTTCAACACTAGTGGTCAGGTTGGAAGGATGCTTCATTTGGCAGAGTGCAGGGGAAGGTGAAGCTCCCTGCTCCCAGGTGCTGCTGAGGACTTAAATCTTTCCAAAGCTGCTTCGGAGAATGGTTCAAATGGATTTTAAGTGCTGACTGCACCCTTCCCATCACCTGTCTGATAAATGATTTAAGGAAGTGGTGAGTGGTGCTGTAAAACTCATTTGGAGCTAAAAACTCCCACTATAATAGCAGCTCTTTGAAATTAGTCATGGTAGTTTGCTGTGCTGGGAGAGGGGAGACTGAAGGGGCCAGAGCCTTTGGCATCGGGAGCTGGGCAGTCACAGGAGCGGAGACTCTTCAGGTCAGTTCTGGCTCAGAAAATCACCTGGGTTTGGGCCATGTGTTCAAACCAGGCCTGGTGTTGCCGAAGCATCCTTGTTCAGCAACGTGGCCAAGTGGATTTGCCACCTTTTCCCATTGTTTTTTTAATCACCACTATCCTCCCAAACACTGTCTATGAAAGAACTGGTAGCACTTTTCCAGGCTTCCTCCACAGAGCTCCTTGATGCTTATTTACTGTTTCCTCTGGTGGTGATCCTGACTGAAGCATGCAGGGGTAGGATGGTTCCAGCAGTTTCTTCCTGCTTAATCAATTGATGCCTTTTCCTGAGACTTTTTCCATTTTTCTCCTTCCTTGAGTTGCCTGGCGCAGCTCATTAGGGATTCATAGCCCAGTTCAGTCCCTGCCCCCTTAGTGTTCCTGGCAGTACATCCTCCCTCTCCATTCACCCTTCACCAGGCACACACAGAGCATCTCCAGAGGTCACCCAGGGAGAGAGGGCGGATTGGGAACCAGCTAAGGGCAGGGCTTTCAGAAGCCTCCAACTCCAAATTAGTTCTGCCACTACCGAATTTCAGACAAAGGCGTCTCGCAGAGGCTGATTTTTAGAACTCAGTGGCTGCTGCCGCAGCGTTCTCCCATTCCCTGCTGATGACATTTCTCCAGAGTTGGAATTAGCTGACCTTTGTCAGCCTGAGGATGCGCGTTGCGGAGTGCGCGCACTTAGAGTACAGAGGTGCAGAGAAGCAGTACAGAAGTACGAGAAGAACATGCCTAACACTGCTCAGTTTTCTTTTCCTTCCTCTTTCACTGCTGCAGCTGAAGAACAAATTCATGAAGAAGTTGCCCCGTGACGCTGAGGCCTCCAACGTGCTGGTGGGGGAGGTGGATTTCCTGGAGGGCCCCTTCATCGCCTTCGTGCGACTGCAGCAGGCCGTCATGCTGGGAGCGCTCACCGAGGTCCCCGTGCCCACCCGGTAAGGGAACCAGCCCCCAGGGACCTGCCTCTTAAAGTAAAAAACCTCTCACAGTAAAAACACCAGGCCAGAAGGAGGTCTTATCCACTGCTTTCCGTCCTGTGACATGGATACCGGTCAGGATTGGTGACGTAAAGTAACAAAACTCACTGATGCTGCTTCATAATTTTCAGGTCCTGAGTTTGGTTATAAGTAAAACATTACAGAAAGTTAGCAGCTCAGTAGTAAAGGGCACTATCAGTGTCACATTTAACACCTGGGGCTTTCTTCCTGCCCTTTCTGTACGCATCTCAGATTCCCTCTGCACATCTTTGCTGTACATATTGTTCCTCTTCAGCTCAGATCAGATGAAGGATTCAGTTCTGTCCCTGCTGGGGCAAAAATATATTCGGATAATCTGAGACATACAATTCTGTTGGGGCTGGTGGATTTGTAACACATAATGGCTGAGGGAAAAATGTCAGATAAATATTTTATTTATTGTGACTCGTGTTGCAAGTTGATCTGAGTCTCACAAACCGCATTGTATCTTGTGTTCTTAAATATTTGAAGTCACTGCTTGAATATGCCTGGCTGTCTGAGCTGCCCCTGTGTGAATTCATAGCAATATCACAGCCCTGGCACGGAATGGAAGTTACACGGCTCTTGGAATCTGTGCCTTGTTTCTGTGTACCAAACAAAGGGAAAAGAGGATCTAGCTTTGCCCTTTAATTGTAGTAGCAGTGTTTGTATGTCTTGGATTTTCATGAAGTGGTTTCTTACAGCCACGTCAACAACTGTTTGCACACGCTGGGTATTCAGGTAGGAGTGTGGGGACACAGAAGAGGCTTCATTTTGTAGTAGGTTACTCATTCCTCAGCATTCCTGGGCTCTGTGTGCTTCACTATTTCAACTCCCCAGTGCAATCCCACTGACTCTATTTTTTAAACACGCCTCCGAGTGCTTTTCCACAGACGTAAAATTAGGTATTGTTTGCTGTGGTGGTGGGAGCTGGGAAGTTGAATCCAGGATTGCTGGGCAGCCTCATGACTCAGTAGCGTTAATCAAGGCAATATGTCCTTCCATGCCAGCATTTTTCCCAGGAAATAGTATTATCCATTTGCTGTCCTCCAAAGCAAATGCTGGCCCTAATCAAAGCAGGGAGGCTCATTAGATGGCTTTCATGAGTGATGAAGAGCCATTTGCAATGGCTGCATCCTTCGAAATTCAATCAAGGAAATCCCCTCAGGGCCCGAGGAGCTGTGATGGAGCATCTCCTCCCATGCCCCGGTTCCTGCTGTGAACCTGCACTTAAAGCCCGCAGACTCCACAGGATGCTGCAACTGGAGCCTCTGGCATGCCCACCCCTCTCTCCCGTGGGGCTTCTCCTCTTATCTTGTTAAACTATCGATTTCCTGGTAAAGTTGTGGACACCACACCATCCAAGCTGGGTACTTTTTTCCTTCATGGTTTCTTGCAAAGCATTTTAAGTATTTCCTTTACTTAAAAGCAAATTTTTACTTAAAAGAAACCAGGAAGATCTCACAAACTCCCCGGAAAAATTACCTCCACCAGGTGTTTTCATACAGCCCTGGTAATAAAAATCAGGGAGATGCAATAGGAATTGAGATATCCCAGCCTTTCCTGAACTTTCTTTTTACTGGTCAGATTGATAAAAACCTTTTAAAACCTTTGGTTTTCTCGCGTCGGATTTAATCCCACGGCGCTCAGGACTCCTCGTTTGGAGAAGCCCTGAGCTTGCAGCATGGCTTGGGCATGGCTGCTGCCAAGACAGCACAAGAGAAGGAGCTCTGTGTTTTCCTCAGAGAAATGGGCAGTCCTGCGTTCAAGGCTGCTGGTTAATGGAATGATAATGGGGAAAACGAAGGGGAATGAGCAAGGAGGAGATGTTTGTGAAGATAAGCTGCACAGACTTGCACAGTCTGGTGTGCAGTGCTGGGAAAGGCCTGTGTCTGCAGGTCTCAGATGAAGTGAAGTAACTTGCCCAAAGGTCACCTGGGAAGCGTGTGGCAGATCCAACATCAGGTTCTCCTCCCAGGCCTCCTGACTGAAGCTTTTCACTGCAAAGGCACCTTTCCTCTAGGACTTGTCTGACATTACTTTGTTCGGGTGCCTTTAACCCTTATGGAGTTGCTGCTCTTGCTGCAGGCTGGAGGCATGGATGAGCAGGCTGGACTCGGACCTTGGTTTAGTTGCTCTTCCTCTTTTTTTTTCTTGTTTTGGGGACAAGGACGAGGGGATGGGACATGGGACGACCCTGTCTCCTGGACTGACCATAGCAGGGTGTCCACCCCCTAATCCAAAGTTACTGGGCTTGTACGTCCCATTGCTGAATTAGGACAAAGAATTTGGAAAATGCCACATACTGCTTGTTTTCCAAGAGTGTTTTAGTAGTGCAGGAGCATTCAGGTGCTGCTGCTCTGTCCTGGAAGAGATCCAGCTGATGGAATTATTGCAGAAGACTCTTATGAAAATGCCTGGTTCCCCCAGAGCACCGAGAGAATGCCAAGCAGCAACTCCTGAAGTTACGAACTCCTTTTTTAAAATTCATATATTTGGCTAAGTTGCATCCTGGAGTTTGGAAAGAGTTGGCTGAGGAACAGTTTGTCTTGAATGTTGTTTTATAATAACTGGTGAAACAGGGAAAGTTCCAGGAGGTGGGAGGAGAGCAGGGGACATAACCTGGGTGTGTGTGGCTTACTCACCTCCACGTGAACCTCAAGTAAAACACTTGAACGCCTCGCGAAGAACTCGAGTAAGAAGTGTTATGTAGTAATGCCAATCAGTATGTATTTATGGATCCTGTCCTATCACTTGCTGCCTTTTTTTTTTTATAGGACTCTAAATTTTTTAAATAGAAAATCTACTTGTTTGGATATAATACTTCTCATAAGCCATTTGACTTAGTACCTCACAATATTTTGATTTAGGGAGCTAAAATAATACTTAATCCAATGCTTGGAATGGGAGAGGTACTTCTGGTGAGGTTATTTCATCTGCGTGTTTGCACTGATAGAGGTTTCATATCATGGTGGTTTTCCAGCTCATCAGCAGTGACTTGGATGTAGTTGCTGTGCAGAGAGATTATGTAAGAAATTAAGTGTCCAAGGCCAAGTTGGATGGGGCTTGGAGCAACTTGAATTAGTGGAAGGTGTCAGGGGTTGGAACTAAATGGCATTTAGGTGATAAGAGAAATAGAAACTTTACTCACGGTATCCCAGAGTGCCCAAATAAGGAGCAATATCATCTTAGAGAAGTCCTAGAGAATTAGATAAGGGGTGTAACTCAAACAAACAGGATGTAAACTAAGCTCTGTGTACCCAAACAGGATAAAGAACAAACGTTACAGTTTTTGGTGAAACACAGTGATGCTGTGCCTGCTCAAGAACTGAGGTCCAGATGACAAAGAAGACCCAGAAGGACCAAAAAAGGACTTCCAGTAGGGATGTGACTATATAAAGCAAACTAATGAATATGCATTAAGAAAGAATATCTAATGAATATGTAAATGCTTTGTGTAGTAAAGGGTCCTGTCTGTCTGTCATTTGGCACGTTCGATTAGAGGAGCTGTCCTCCGAACGTCCAGCACCGAACAAAGAATGCCCTTTTTAACACCCTCAAATTGCTGTTAAGAAGTTTGTTTCTGCTGCTTTTCAGTATCATAGGGTCATTTCCAACCCAAACTATTCTGTGGTTCCATGAAACAAGTCCCTGTGGAGGTGGACAGGCTTTGTGTGTTGCACGGGATATGATGGGCCGCAGGGTGTAACCCCTGCTCCTGAGGTAGCTGGAGGCCGCTGGCAGCCTCTGCATCCCTAACAAGAACCACAACTTTTTGAAGTTGTAGTTCTGTCTAGATGTTGTATAAATAATAAGCAGTTTGTTTTGCCATCCTAAATGGGAACAATCTCTTGGTTTTGTCAGATTTCTCTTCATTCTGCTGGGACCGAAGGGCAAAGCAAAGTCCTACCATGAGATCGGCCGAGCCATCGCCACACTGATGTCAGATGAGGTAGGTGTCCTTGCATCTCCCATGGAAAAGGGGTTCTCCCAGGTAATGATATCCATTTCCCCAGACTGGTCGACATGAATGAGCATTCACGTAAAGCCGGAATATCCAGATGTCACCTCCTGATTCCATCTGTGGACATAATTATTGCCTCTGGCCTCATGGTTTTGTAAAAGCGTGACTAGGGGAGGTGTTTGTGCACCGTGTGTGTTTTCCTGCTGGCAGTCACTCTTGCAAACCAACTGTGAATTAATTGTTGAATTAATTCTGTCGTGGTCTGTACCCTGTGTCCCATTCCACCATCCCAGTATCCCACAGCCACGCTTCCGGTGGTGTCATTATTTCTATGTCACAGAGTTGAAAATGAACCTGGGTTTGATAGACTAAGTAGGCGGCTTTGTAAAAGTGTCTTCTCAAATTGAAACTCCTTCTGTAGAGGAAAACTCTTTTTTTTGGATGAATTGCTTTAGTAAAATTTTTAAAGGTTAGAAATGTATGTTTTGCTTAAAATTAGAAACATGCCTGCAAGAAAGAATCTCTGTCATTGTCCAGCTGAAGGAAGGGGCTTTTCTGAGGGTTGCACCTCCTCGTGCCAAATGTCTTGATACTTCTTCAGAGGTGTTTGAGAAGGAATTAAGTTGGTTTTGTAGAATATAACTAGGCAGCTGCCTCTGGAGTCTGGGCTACAGAAAATGCAAACCTATTCCATATGAAATCTCTCTTTTCCTTGCAGGTATTCCACGACATTGCCTATAAAGCCAAGGACCGGCAGGACCTGATTGCGGGCATCGATGAGTTTCTGGATGAAGTCATTGTGCTCCCCCCTGGGGAATGGGATCCAGCCATTAGGATAGAGCCTCCCAAGTCTCTCCCTTCTTCGGATAAGAGGTAATAGCAGGAGACAGTGTCCATGATGAAGGACAGTGGGCATCGGGTCTGAAAAGGTGATAGGAAGAGCCGGTGCTTTGGTTGCACCAGGGGTGTTTATTGAGTGACCTGCAGCTGTCTGTCCGTATTTAGAAAGTCCTGGAGGTATTTTCAGGTCTTCCTTAGTAGCTGGAGGGAGGATGTTCCTGCAGTTCTGTACCTTTTAAGGTGATATAGGCACATAACAATGTAGCTGTGTTCTGCTTGGTCCTTCTGACACGCCACGTTCTTGCCCAGGAAGAACATGTACTCGGGCGGGGAGAACCTGCAGATGAACGGGGACACCCCTCACGACGGAGGGCACGGCGGCGGGGGCCACGGGGACTGCGAGGAGCTGCAGCGCACGGGCAGGTGGGTCCAAGGGTTAAAAAGTCATTAAAAAGGACAGAGGGTGACATGTACCTGTCTGCCACCGGGTCAGAGCAGTCCTGGTGTTGGTGGGGAGCTGTGAGCAGGGGAACAAGAGGCTCAACAGAAACATGTTTCAAGCTGGCAGTGTGAGAGCCACGTGGAGTTTATAAGAGTTAAATGCTGTCTTGTCTGGCATTGTACAAAAAGGCATGTCTGCAAGTGAGTTCCCTTGTTCTCCAAGATTATTTCCTGTGTGTTTTTACGTCCAGTTCTTTTGCTGGTTAACAATTTGAAGCATTTTTCCATGTAGCAGATTGTTTGGCTCGCCCAGCCATGGTGTCTGCCATGTGGAGAAATTTAGTCAGGGATGTAGACCAGAGTTAATCTATTTTATTACATCAACTAATATAGTTGGAGAAAAAAAAAAACAACAGACAAGCTTCCTGAACTGCAAACTGTAGTGGTCTGTTTTAGCAAGGCTTGTGTTCCTGAAATTTGTCTCTTTCCAGCTGCATCGCATGTTCAAGATATTATCTATCTTTACAACATTATCTCTGATATTCCTGGACCACCACAGCTGCAGTAAGACTGTGTGTAATGTGGTGATCTCACTCCTTTGAGATAATACCTCACTGCTGGCAGTGTCTCTGATGGCTTATCATGGTGACTTTCACTGTAAAACATTTTTCATGAGTCTCCTCTTTCTTGTCCTTGCAGATTCTGTGGGGGCTTGATCAAAGACATAAAGAGAAAAGCACCGTTCTTCGCCAGCGACTTCTACGACGCTTTAAACATCCAGGCCCTCTCAGCCATCCTCTTTATCTACCTGGCCACTGTCACCAACGCCATCACTTTTGGGGGATTGCTTGGGGATGCTACGGAGAACATGCAGGTGAGCAAGAGCTTTCAGAACCAACAAACAGCATTTCGTTCTTACTGTCCAGCCAGAGGAGCGTTTGGGCACCCACAGAGCTGGAATTCTGGATACAATAAGGGAGTTGTCCTGTGTTTTTACTGCTTTCTCTGCTGTTGTTCCCTGTCCTTTGACAGATTGTACAGGAGTTACCTTAAATGGTGATTAAAAGCAGACCAGGAGGTGGAAAAGGTGTTTGCTCCTTCCCTAGAGAGAAGTTCCTCTGATCTGCTCTCAGTTGTACCATTTCAGTCCAAATAAGTTTGCTAAGTCTGATTCAGACTTTCCATGTCTGAATCCTCTGCCTGACTCCTACAATCCCTGGGCTTCTGTCTCTCTGGTGAAAAGAACATCCTAAAATTCATAGGAAAGCAAGTAAATCAAGAGATGTGACACAGGAGAGAACTGTAAGGTCTTTAGAAAGATGAATTTTGAAGTAGTGGGAGATCCTGAGAACCAGCTGGCATATCCATGGACAGGCTGGATCAGTGGACAAGGCAGGAGTTGGGGCTTCAAAGGATAGCTTGGGCTAGAAAGGGATTCTGCATTAACAATGCCATAGGGGCTTCATGTTAGTGGAATAATAGGAAAAATAGGAGGTTGTATTTAGACAGATTCAGTGCAGCCACATCAAATCTCCTAACAATAATTAAGATTGTAGTGACAGTGTCTAAACTACTAATTTAAGCAGGTTTAATTAAGTTAAACATAGAAAAGGAGGGTGTGTATCTGGAACTTTGCACTTGCCTGTGATGTGAATTACAGGCTAGAGTAAGATCCAGCAGCCTGTGGAGTACCAAACTTCCTTCTCCCCTGTGCTGACAGTTTGCCTTTTCTGAGACTCATGGAAGTCAGGAACGGAGGGGCCTCTGGGACCCATCAGTGAGCAGCACTGGGCTGTCACTGGGTAGCAGAGCAAAGCCTGTCTGCTCTGCTTCTGAATGAGGTACAGAGTCTTTAAATTAGGAGGAGAAAGGGGAAATGTTACCCGATTCCAAGTTTAGAATCGCTTTATTGTGAGTGGCCAAAAGCCTCTTCTGTTACCTTTGTATCCCATGAACGTGTATTATCAAGTAGCAAAAAAAGAAAAACGGTATTTTTGAGGCTACCACATCACAGTTCCTGTGTCTTGTTGGCTGCAAAGAGTGATGTGGCTGCTGCTGGGACAGGCCCTGAGCACGGCCTGTCCCTGCTGCCTGTCCTGGGAGCTGCTCCGGCTGGTGCTTCCTTAACAGCTCGCTCCAGAGTTCTGTGTTTCTGCGAAAGGACACTATTCTTAGCTTCAGACACGTGGAAGAATGTAGGGAAAAGAGATTCCAGATGCGCTGGCCGCAAGGGCCCTCTCCATGAGTAATGCCAGAGGAGCGGAGGGGATCGGCTGTGTGGATGCCGTTCCTCGCCCCGGGAGCAACCGGCTCATCCTCACAAGTCCCCCAGAGGCAACCAGCAAATATTATTTTCCTCAGTGTAAACACTGATTTGTGTCTTTCCAAGGAAGAAAGACACAAAACTGGACTTAAATTCTTCACAATACCCCCGATAAGTCAGGAAAACTGCAGCCCCATCCCTGCAGCGTATCATGGATGGAAGGAAGGATCTGCATGTGCTGTTAATTAACATGTGTGGCATTAATGAGGCTGCTGGCTCACACAGCTCCAGCCATGCAAATAAGCCTGGGGTTAAATCCACCCCGGGTTGTTGGGAACATGTTCCTGGAGAGGGTAATACTGATGGCTGCACGTCCTATTCGGTAGAAGATGATGCTCTTATTACTCCTTTAAAACTCAGTCAAGTGTAAATAGATTAAGAGTAAATGAGGTAAGATCAGCACGTTCTGCACACTCGGCCAGTAATCACATTTTATTGCCATTTATATTTCATCCACATTTTTCATTTTAAAAGTAGACATTGTCCAGCTACAGCTGGACATGAAAATCCAAGAATGCACCAAGTGTGCTGTTCTATCCTTCTCCAGCCAAGCTGCTTTGCCACGCGTGCCAAAGGTAATTGTAGAGCTCGTTAAGTATGGAATTTATGGCTTGCTGGTGACATCTGATGAAGTTGGGTCTTAACACGTGGCTGCTGGGTGAAACAACCTTGTTTGGTTTGTGTCTTACTTACTAAACCAGTGACTTGAAAGAGAGGCAGGTTGTTTATCTAGGAAATGTCTGCTCAGTTGAAGAGAGAAAATATCCCACGTCCGTTGTCCTGGGGGGTTTTGGTGCCATCCTGTAGCCACGCTCTGCTACAGCTGTTTGAGGAGTCACGCAGACGTGTCTCTTTACTGTCAAAGGCTTGGAAGATCATAGAATGATACAGTGGTTTGGGTTGGAAGGAGCCACAAAGGGGTCTGGTTCCGACCCCTCTGCCATGGGCAGGGACGCCTTCCACTAGACCAGGTTGCTCCGAGCCCCGTCCAACCTGCCCTTGAATGTTCCAGGAGTTCTGAAATCCTTTAAGTGGTCCTTGAAAACACTCTCCCCCCATTGTCAAATATAAGATACAATATATAGCGTTGATAACCTGTGGAACTCAGATATCCAAGGGGGGTTGGTGGTTATCCGGAGTAACTGTGGATTGTGTGGGACCAACACATCTCAGTGTGAGCTGCAGGAGAGGCAGAGGATGCTCCTCCCTTGCAGCCCACGGCCGGTCACCGGCAGAACTGCTCATTTCTAAAGGGTTCTGCAGCAGAAGTGACCCTTGTGCCGTGTGTCCGCAGGGCGTGTTGGAGAGCTTCCTGGGCACGGCCGTCACCGGCGCCATATTTTGCCTTTTGGCTGGTCAGCCCCTCACCATTCTGAGCAGCACAGGGCCCGTCCTGGTCTTTGAGCGGCTCCTCTTCAACTTCAGCAAGTGAGTACGTGGGGGGAGAGGGCGGGGGGGGGAGGAATGTCCCATGGTAATGAAATCCCAGCCAGAGAATGAGCTGCCTGGCAGTGGGGAAGGAGGGGATTTAGTGCACGAAATGAAACATGTCGTTGTTCCCTCTTGAGATCCAGTGCAATCACATCAGGGATTTTCCCGGCACGCATGTCCCAGGGCGCTGCCCGGTGTGTGGCTGCCTGTCTCCGTGAGGCCTCCTGGAAAGAAATCCTTGGCCAGTTCAGTCCTCCATGAGCGATTTGCTCTAGTTACAGTGTGCTGCTCCTCCCAGCCACTGCTTCCCTGGCTGCTCTGGATTTCCCATAGGAGCAAAGAAATCAATCCAGCTCTTCGCTAACGAAATCCTGCGGGTCTCAAGGTTACCAAAAATTTGACCTTAAATCTCTAATAGTTTGAAATAATCACTATCATTTGTGAAAGCAAAAGTGCCTGTGATAGAAACAGCCCCCAGAATTCCGCAGTGGAGCTTTCCTGCAGTAAAGGCTCTTGGATTTTTTCCATTTAACTGGTATAAAGAGGTTCTGCTCCCTCCCCTTTGTTGATAGCTGACACCCAGAGCCAAAGGGAGCCCATTTTGTTAGGCGTGGTCATTTACCAGTCCCACATCTGGGATACCAGGAAAATACACAGGAATCCCTAAGGGAATCAGTGGTGTCATGGATGATTTTATTCATAGGGCTGCTGATCCTTGGGCCTGTGTTCTGCGAGGAGATCATTTTAGGTTACTCAGAATACAACCCAAATCCCTTGCAGCCCATGTTTATGGCATTGCAGGTTGTGCAGGACTTGTGTTCCTGCACATAGGGGGAGGGATAGGGGCTAGGAAAAATAGATGGAAAATTAGATTATCCCAGAGAGGGAAACTGTAAGCTGCCAAAGGGTTGCGAGCTCCACAGTGGAACAAGAGGGGAGCACCTTTCTTTTCTTATTTTGGCTGGAATAAATGAATAGAGTCAGGAATGGGCATGCTGCACCTGTTGGCATGTGGCAGGCATGGCACAGCCCAGGTGCAGCACACAGCAGGAAAAAAGCAAGATGGAAAAGCACTTTGTACTGTTTTGGCAGGGAGAAGGTGGTTATTTTTAACCTGAGGAGGAGGTGGTGGTTATAAAAGCCATTGTCCTAACAACCTGCCGGAGCAGAAAGGCAGGAGTTTTCAAAGGGAGCCTTTCTCACAAGGAAATTGGAACCGAGGACTGTGATTTTTCTGTAATGCATTTGTGGTTGTTCCTATTCACAACGTGCTGTTCCCTCCTGGGAGCAAAATTAGAAAGACTTCCCATCTACTGACTCATTTGAAGTGTGACTCGTGTGTGTGTATATGGAGGGATTCCTAAAAGCACCTTGTGGACCCAGACATGTGCCTGGCTTTAGGTGCTCCATGGTGCCAGCATGGGGGGATCGATGCTACAGGACACAGTGCTTTTCCACCTGCTCTGTCAGCTTCAGACATGCTGCAGGAATTTGAGGGGTAAAAGCCAAACTAATATAGTTTGAAAGTCTTTGAAGTTCTTCAGTGGTGTGCAGCCAGGGTGTACCTGGGCTCCTGCCAGCCGCCTTCACGTGGATGGCAGCTCCTGCCCCCTCAGGCACAGACTCCGGATATTTCAAAGCTGTCACTGGGGTCTTTTGTTATTATTTTTTCTCCTTCTCTTTTTTTAAATCACTTTGTTTCTTACTTGCTCCTTACCCTCTCCCAGACCAGGGCTCCTTGGCTTCCAGGGCTGGGGCTGCCAGCCCCAGTACCTCCCACTCCCTTCCTTTCCCAGAACAGACAGTAACCTCCCTGGCAGGTCCTTATCTGCGCCAGTGTCCCCTTTTGGCACTTATTCACTCCTAAAAGCCCACCTTTGGACTCTGTGCCTGCATGGCACTGCAGCCTCGAGCAGCAAACACAGGGCCATCGTTCCCAGGAGGGAACAGTGCAGTTGGCTCCGTGGTTCTCCTCAGCCTGCCAGTCCTGGCACCAGGGTTTGTCACAGGATCACAGAACATCCCAAGTTGGAAGAGACCCGCAAGGATCAGCAAGTCCAACTCCCTGCTCCTGGCAGGACTACCTAAAACTAAACCATATGACTGAGAGCATTGTCCAGATGCTCCTTGACCTCTCTCAGGCTTGGTGCCATGACTGCTTCCCTGGGGAGCCTGTTCTGGTGCCTGACCACCCTCTGGGGGTAGAACCTTTTCTTTATGTCCTGTGTCAGCTTCCCCTGACGCAGCTTCATTGCACATAACATCTGCTTTGTACTTCCTGATCTTGTCTAACTCAATGTTTTCCATTCTTGCCACCCCTGTCTTGTTGCAGGGACAATGACTTTGACTACCTGGAGTTCCGCCTCTGGATCGGCCTCTGGTCAGCCTTCCAGTGTCTCGTTCTCGTGGCCACCGATGCCAGCTTCCTGGTCAAGTACTTCACCCGCTTCACTGAAGAAGGATTTTCCTCCCTGATCAGCTTCATCTTCATTTATGATGCTTTCAAGAAGATGATCAAGCTGGCGGATCATTATCCCATCAACTCCGAGTTCAAGGTGGACTATATCACACATTTCTCTTGTGCCTGTAAACCAGTAGATCCAGGTAAGAGAGTGTTTCATTACCTCTCCAGTTTGCAGGTAGCAGGTGGCATTTGCTCTCTTTTTCCTTTGTGCTGCAGCCCAGATAATAGGTAGATTATTCCTTCTCTATCGGCTGTCTTCAGATACCCTATCTTAGTTTTTTTTGGAACCTGAGGGGTGAATTTCACTGTATGTCCCAACTGGAATGTTTGTATAGCCAACCTTCCTGGGACTCCTCCTGTGAGCAGCATGACCAGTAGAGAAGCTTCTCTGCACCCTTGTCTCCTTGCATCCCTCTGGCTGTCAGTTCCAAACAGCATTCCTCTGAGAATTCCGTGAAGGGGCAGAAGTGGCGGCCGTGTCACCGCCATGGAGATCAGGTCACTCCTGTTTCAAGTGCTGGAGCTGGATTTATTCAAGGTGTTACCCAAACATGGGTGGTTCCCAGCTCCTGGTTGCATGGATGAGTGGGAAAGCACAAACAATTCCTTGCTAAGCAGAAGGGAAGTGTATCCAGAGGGCAGCCTATCTCCAGAGCATGGGCTGCATGGCAGATAGAGCCTGTATGTGTAGGTCTGGGTACTCAGCCGGGAACAAAGGGAAACAAAACCCAAATCCAAACAGAGGGAACGCTGGGACCATTAGGGAAGCAGGGACCACTCCTTGGATCCTACACACAATGAGGAGTGAGTAAGAAGCTTGGTCTGTGCTCAAAGTAAACTGCAGGTTACCTCAGCACACCTGTCCAACAGGAAAAGCTGCTGGCTGCTCCTCGCAGGTGTCAGGAGCCGGTTCCCTTGGAGCCGGGTGCCTGCCTTATTTATTAAACACAGGATCTTGGCGAGCACATGGATGCTGCTCTGGTGCTGCCTCCATTGGAATGGCACGGAGCCAGGACGGTGGGAATGGTCAGTGCCAAGTCTCCACTTCCCACTGAAACACCTGTGGCTCCCCAGACAGCAAAGGAAAAAAAAGTTTATTTATGCAAAACCTCAGTAAAACCGTGATGGCGGAGGTGGCGAGCCTGTTCGCAGCAAGGACTGCATTCCTAAATGAAATTTCAAATCCATGATTCCTAATGCTGCAAAAGCCAGAGGAAAATGTGTCACTGCCACAGGGAATGCTGCTCCTTCTTTCAAAGGAATTATCCCCATCCTGTTGATTTCAATTACTTGCCATCTTTTTGTTTCTTTTAATTCAAAAAATGTGTTTGTGCTGGACGCTAAAATGCATTTTGCTTTTCTGGATATCTTGGGGGTTGTGCTTACATTTGAAATTAATCATTAGAGTGTTCTGTGGATATTTAGTTTAATCCAGAAATCATTAGAAAAATATTGGAAACCCATCAAATGTTATATTGTCTGTCTGGTTTTCTGGTTTGTGTGGTTTTTCTTTTTCTTTTTTTTTTTTTTTTAACCATGAACTCCAAAAAAACCCTCAGTTAGGTTTGGATTATGTTTCACTTAACCTTTTCTTTCAGTTTTGTGAGTGATTGATGCTTGAAAGCTTTTGAGTCTCTCTGAAACAACACTTGTGACTCACTTTACTGGAGCAAAGAGGTGGCAAACAGCTTGATGGAGTCAAGAAATTACTTATTAATTGGAATTTTCTCTCCTCCCTAGCTGTTTCCTGCATCCTGCTCACCATACACCCTTTTCTCTTCTCTCTTGCAGTTAATAGCTCGTTCTTTAACAGGACAGCGGTGCTGTCAGACAATGAGCTGGTCTATTCCTCCTCTGAAATGGTGAGTTCCCCTTGGGAGGGCACGGATCCCATGGGCTGCAGAGTCTCAGTGGTGAGCTTTGGATCGTGAGAAAGAAGTGGAGCTTGATGGGTCACATCCATTTGTGGGGGACATGTGTGAAGGAAGCTGAGACACAGAGTAATAACTCCTTTTAGTCAGACACCAGCAGGAAAATGGTCTCACCCAAATCATTCTGTGATTCCCTTTTTTTCCTGCAGGACAACACCACCATTGACTGGGCTGCTCTGACAGCCAAAGAGTGCTTGAAATATGGGGGAAAACTTGAGGGCAACAGCTGTGACTATGTCCCTGACATCACCCTCATGTCTTTCATCCTCTTCTTCGGCACTTACACCTGCTCCATGGCCCTCAAGAAATTCAAGACCAGTCGCTATTTTCCCACCACTGTAAGTATCTCCTTTCACCCGAGCAGTCTTCCCGAGGGCAAAGGTCAGCCTTCCTTTTGGAGTAGCTGTCACGCACACGGGGAGGGGTGCTCTGCAGGGAAGCCAGGTTGGACTGGTTGGGATAAAAACATGGAACTGGTTAACCAAGGTATGCCTGGGATTGCTCCCAGCGGTTCTGGAGGGCACAGCTAAGGCACAGAAGAGCCAAGAGGAGCCATAATCTCTCCTGAGAATGTAGCAGGCATTTTAAAGGCGCTGAAGACAACACTTCCAAACCTACAGGCACCTCACAGGTGCATCTGCTTGTTTTGTCCCCTCAGGTGAGGCTCCCACTCCAGGCGTGCGAGCCGGAGCTTTCTGTGTGTGCCAAACCCATGTTTCTCTCTGAGACTTGCCCCATTTTTGGCATTCTGACACACAGGGATTTATCCTGCATGGATGTTTACTGTTCTGCTGTGTTACAATTGAACCTCTCTTACTTTTAATAAAAAGGAAACAAATTCCATCCGGGCTGGAATGCAGCTCAATTTATCTGTAACCATGTGAACCCAAGAAACCAGGAAGGAACAACGGCTCTGGAAAGCTCACACAGTTCCAAACAAGCACAGTGGCTCCTGCACAGTTAAATTTTGGGATCTGACCAGTGGCAGCTTTAAGTTGTCATATTCCAGTGACTTCAGGAGAGCTGCAGTCTTAGGGATTTAGCTGAGAAGCCTGGTTTGTTTTCCTGTCAGCTTAGGTGGACTTATTATTTGAACAGCAAACAACGTAATCCCTGCCAGTCATACAGAGTATCTTATTTGTGGACATTCGTGTCTTCCCATCTCCTAAAGGGAATTTTGTGACTTTCCATTGTGTTGTTTTCATGCTCCCATTTAGGCTTTCAGACAGCACAGTAAAGTACCAAGGCACTTGTAGGCAAATGGCACCAGACATGACAGTGGGCATCTTTGTAGATGAAGGAACGCTGAGTTTGTCTCGCCACAAGGTCTCATGTAGACACTAAAGCGTGGGTGAAGTGGTGTTTTGTGGTGCTCACTCCTGCTGCTATGATACCACCTTCTCTTTCAGGCCCGGAAGCTCATCAGTGACTTTGCCATTATCCTGTCCATTTTGATCTTCTGTGGAATAGATGCCCTGGTTGGTGTGGACACACCAAAACTAATTGTGCCAAGTGAATTCAAGGTATGTCATTGTCAGGCCTGTGGAAGAAGTTCACTTCCCCCTCCACCTGCCCTGTATGGAATGACTTGCCCTCAAAATAGGAACGTAGTTAGTGCTCTGGAAAGGGCTGATTTACTCAGAGGATATCCTTTTTGTTAGCATCATTTGATTGGCTAAATCCTGCCTCCATACTTGGAACCTTTCCTTGTTAGTGGGAAGGATGAAATTGTCACAAACCTCAAGTGTCTCCCTGCAGTCCCATTGCTGGAAGTACACCTGGTTTTGGGATGTCATCACTCCTGTATTGCACCTCCAACAAGAGCTTTCTTTTCCCTGTCCTTCAAAGCCAACCAGTCCCGAGAGGGGTTGGTTTATCCCACCTTTTGGAGGGAACCCCTGGTGGGTGTACCTGGCAGCAGCCATCCCTGCCCTGCTGGTGACCATCCTCATCTTCATGGACCAGCAGATCACCGCCGTCATCGTCAACAGGAAGGAGCACAAGCTCAAGGTGGGTGTGCTTTGTGTCTTGAGCACTTGCAGGGGCTTTTCCTCCTACTACTTTGCTGCCTCACGGACATGAGCCTATTCCCTGTCACTGGCTGCTGTTTTTAAGGAGGAGAAGTTGCTTTGTGGTCGCGGTCACACTGCACAGTGCTGTCAAATGCGAGCAATAAGCTGGAGAGATTTGGGACATACCAAGGGCATAGCCCCAGTTGGATGTTATTTAAAGAAGAGCTGACACGAAACAGCCTAGGATGTAGTTGTGTTTTTAAAATAAACTTTCCAGACTGGTGCTATGCAGTTTTTCGTGCCTGTAGGGTTTTTCCTTTCCCTGCACGGTCAGTTCTATTGAAAAATATTTCACTCCTGTAAAAGAAGACTCTCTCTTCCTGATAATAGAACGTGAGGTGTGACCTGTGGGAGTAAAGACCCCCTCAGAACACAGGTAATAGTGGGTCATTATTCAGATACCTGCAGCTGTAACCTTCATCAGTTACAGGGAGAGTTGCTGGAAATGGGAAGGGAGCTTTTGCTTTGAAAAGGGAGGATGTTTCAACTGACATGGTCACTGTGGACATTAGACAAGTAACGTGATTTAAGGCCATCCTGAGCCAGACCTGGAGAAGACAGTCGGAGTACCAGGCAATGGGAAAGGTTTGTTGTGCACAGTGATGATGGCACACAGATGCTGGCTCATAATTTAAAAAAAAACCCTCAGAACATCTCTGTTTGCCACCTGCATCTGGGCAGATACCTTTGATACTGGGCCCTCATCTTCCTCAGGGCAGGCTGATTGTTGCCATGGTCTCAGTTTTAGGTCTGTGTCCTGCACCTAACTAAGCAGACATAGCATTTTATTAACCACTAGGAGAATATATTCACTGTTCTTCCCCCATGAAAAAGAGGCCCCTCATCTCTGCAGCTTATAAAGCTTATGAACCACAGAACGTGGTTTTGCTGTCAGCCCTGGGTGTACTTTTTTAGTAACAAAGTTATAAACACTCCAGCAAAGTACTGTTAATATAAAAAAATGTATTCCCTGCTTCCCTTTTTACATGTGAGCTCTGTATTTTTTGGAATTGGGGCTTCTCAAGTCCCATCCTGTTGCTTTGAACCAAAAAACACCTCTGCACATAAGATTTACTGTAAAAAAAAAAAAAAAGGTCAGGTTTTTTTCTGCTCATCCCTTGCTAAAGCCTTGGCAGGGTGTCACAGGGTGCCTGTCCCAGTACCACCAGCCAGCCAAGGTAAGCAGTGCACGTGTGAGGAAAACAGTGAGGACTATTCAAGAGGAGCTGGGTTGCTTTCCCTCCTGGGTCATCCTAGGTCTGGATTGGGGTTTTTTCCAATAAAATCAAACAGGATTAAAAAAGAAGGCTAATCTGTTTTAAAATAGCACACCTCAGAGGTCTGTCTGGTGTTTTTCTGAAAGTCCCTTTCTTTGGTGGCTCTTTTGTTTCTTCACTTCTTCTCTTGGCACTTGTGACCGCTGGATTTCCTGTGTTAGTTCATGAAAGGATTTAAAAAATAGAGGGTCAGGGGTCTTTGAAAAGGAGTCAGGAATGAGGGCAACTTTTTCCTTTGGATAGGGAATGAGCCTTCAGCTGTTCTTGTTGCATTCCATAAAAGGAACTTAGGATTGGGTGTTGAGGGAGTTGCTTCCAGCACCAGGCACCATCTGCAGGGCCCAGACCCATTGGGAAGTCCTGACTAGAAGATCCTGCAGTTGCTGAACATGAGTTCAGACCTCACTCTGAGACAGCCAGTGGCACATGTTACCTTTAGGCAGGCACCATATGTCTGTAAGGTGGCTTTCTTCCTTAGGTCATCACACTGCAAGTTGTTGTTCAACAGCTGCTTAAAACTAAAATTAGGCTTTGGGCTGTTTTTTTAAAGGGTGGTTTGAGTGTTTAAAGCTCTGTGTGCATCCAAGCATCACTTACAAGGATGTGAGATGACGTGGGGCACAACCCATCTCTCTCTTTCTCTCAATCTCTCTCTCTCTCTATCTGTATATTTATTTTGAAAGCTTGCTTATGCTGTTCACAAGATCCAGTGTATATTTGGTGTTCGGCTCTGTTTGCCAAAAGAAATTGTAGAAGGAAATGCCACCTGTCCAGTGTGCCTGTGCCCCGCTCCGTAGGCATTTGGAATAATTCAGCTGAAGGTTGTTTGTCTCCCTTTCACAGAAAGGTGCTGGATATCATCTGGATTTGTTCTGGGTGGCCATTCTGATGATCGTCTGCTCCTTCATGGGGCTGCCCTGGTATGTGGCTGCTACCGTCATCTCCATCGCTCACATCGACAGCTTGAAGATGGAGACGGAGACTTCAGCCCCTGGAGAACAGCCCAAGTTTTTGGGAGTGAGGTATGTCCAACCACAAAGGCCTTAATTACTGTGTTTGCCTGTAAAATCCTTTTGTACAAAGAATTTTGTGCTGCTCTCTCCCTGTTTCCAAAGCCAGCCGTGAGATTCAGCAGCACAGGTCTCTGGCGATTCCTTGGGCAAACCCCAGGTGTGACTCCTCAGAAGTTTTTTTAGCCAGATCAGATGCAGTTTTCCAGTGTTAAAGAAGATAAATTACCTGCAGATTTCTTTATCCATGGAAATGAGGCATTCCTTAGCAAATGTAATGGTCAGACATGCAAACCTGTTCTGCCTAGAGCAGTCAGCTCTACTTAATGGAGTTATTTTTTCTGTGTTTGGTTGCCTTAATTAAGTGGTCTGAAGTGCTTCCGATGGGAGCACTCCTGGAAATCAGGCTGCTTGTTTAGGCAACTAAATAGAAACTTAATGGCCTGACTTAGAGTGCTCAGAAATATTAGTGGCCAAGCTTTTTTGGAAGTGGGAAGCCCTGTGGGCGCTGATGAAGGCACATGTTCAGCACCTTGTGAAGGTCTCAACCATTTTTCCAAGCTGCTGGAGTGCTCTGAGCAGGACTCACAATATGTGACTGATCTAAGGGTGGAGAGCTAATGATTTTTTCCCTGTCTAAGTACGGCTGTGTGGGGAATTTGGAGTGCTGGTTAATGGTCTGTAATGTTTAACATGCAAACACACCCCTCCTCACTCAGTAGCAGTGCTGTGTTGACCCCAAACAGCATAAAGAAACCGATCTGGGGTTTGAAAACAGAGCTGTGCAGGGCTTGGTCAGGATCCAGCCACCTGTCTGATGCTGTAGGCTGAAAAACGTGGCTGCAAAAGTGAGTTTTTGGGCTTTATGTTGTGTAATCAGAATATAAAACCAAAGCTATGGTCCTCACCCAGTGATGTTGTTTCAGGGAGCAGAGAGTCACTGGAGTCATTGTTTTCATCCTGACCGGGGTGTCTGTCTTCATGGCTCCCATCCTAAAGGTAAGGATGGTTAACAGTTCTTTGGAAGCTTAAATCCAAACCTTTTGGAAGGCAAACCCACCATGATTGTAGTGTGCTGCAATAGTGAACGAAGTTCAGGGCTGGGAGTCTTGGGCGCTGTGATTTTTTTTCATTTTAAGATTATTCTTCCATGTTTGCATAAAGTTAAGTTTCCTTTTCTTTTATGGTTCCTTTTGTACCTTTGCCATGCCTGCATTTTATGGAAAACGAATCACGGATAAAGCTCAAGAGTATGGAAAACATGTTTCTGGAGGAAGTAGTGTAATTAAATGGCATTCCTTCATCTCCTGAATCTTTTTTTCCTGTGAGTTTAGCCAAGACTCTGGACAGATGTGCTGCTCGTGGATCTAGGTAGGTTGCTATTTTCCAAGACCAGAAATGCGTTGGCACGTAGCCACAGAGAAATGCATCCTTAGTGGATCATCAGATCGTAGAAGGGAACTGGAAAACCTGCTTATCCCTGTCTTGTGGAGGACACAGCCTACTCTGGGAATGGTGATGGAAGCAGTGCCAAGCACAGACATGCAGTCCAGTGGTAGATGTCAGCTGCAGGTGTCCTTCTTCATGGATCCCAAGGCCGATGGTAGAAGCAGAACATGTCAAATCAGTGGCACCGTGCACTGTAACTCCGGGATGGAGCAGATGGGTGTCTGGAGGAGCATTTGGAGGAGGCAGAGGAGTTTTTGGAAGCCACAGGGGCTGCGAGGCACAGTGAGATGTGAGCCTGAGGGGAGGAGGCAGGCAGGGAGCAGCAGTGCTGCCTGTGGAGAGAGTGGAGACAGTGGCTTTCCAAAGCCAGCATGTTTCTCTTCTTCATTTCTAAGGTTGTTTGTACGGCTCGAATTTTGATGTCTTGGTAACAGTTTCCGCCTCTGCACAAACAGGCACTTCCGTGCCCTTAATTTAATGCCTGATTGTGATAATCCTGTTTGTTAGTCCATGTGACCTTTCCCTGCAAGATCCCTCTTCCTCTGTTCCACTGGGGTCTATTATTTCCCCTGTTATTGCTTCAGTCATTAGTTCTTTGCTGTGCTTCCCCTAAGACAGCGTGTGGGGAAGATCCTCGCGGGAGGACGCCTGAGGATAAATCGGCACGCTCCCGGCCCACGTGCCAGCGGGAAGGACCTGGCAGCATTTCAGGACCTTTAGCAAATTCCAGTGGCAGGGTCCTGCTGGAGGGAGCTGCTCTGCTAAATGCATTGCAGAACATTTCAGTCTTCTCCTGCCAGCGGCGAGTTGAACGCTGACGATCCCGAATTCAATAAACCAGGCAATGCATGGAATAATCCCAGCTTTGTTTTCTGGGGGTTTTGTGGTGATTGTGCTGGTTTTGGATGTCACTGGTGTTTCTGCTCAACTGTGGCAGATCTCCACAGAAACATCCTCGGCCCTGCTGAGAGAGTGACAGGGACTTTCCTATAAATACAGTTTTAATCCCCTTGGCCCACAGCAGGTTTGGTCGGAGTGCTGAAGCCAGCAACCCCATCACTGGGGAAGACTTTGCCAAGAGAAAGTCTTCCAAAATGACAGCACCGCTTGCTGCTCTGCAGGATAATGTACTGAGGTTTCACCTCGGGAGGATCTACGGGATTAATCATCGTGGAATGGAGAAATAATATTTGGGCATTTTTCTTATGTTTAAAAAAAACCCACAGAAATAAATAAAAGGGGAGGAGAGCAGTGAAAATGAGCTAGAAAGCTGAACTCTGATTTCTGGAGATGTTGCCTTAACTTGTCTCATCCCCTCAGATCCAGTGAGGGCTTTGAATCCTGTGGTCCCCCACAGCTTTGTGAAGCACACAGTGGGTCCCCACCCCACCCCACCCCACCCACAGTGGTGATGGCAGACCCCCACTGTGGAGAAAACATTTGCCCTTTTAATGGGCATTACCAACACGGCTCTCCAGAGGAAGGAAATAAATCCAAGAGAAGGATGAGTTAGCAATCAAGAAGCGTGCAGGAGCTGATAGGGAATGAGACTCGGGAAGGAAGAAAAAATGTAGGCAGGAAAACTTTGAATGGCACGTGGCCAGGTGACTTAGATGCTCATGTGCCCCCAGGGAAATACTTGTAGGAAATGATGAATAAGGTGGTGGGGAATACGCTGAAACACTGGATAGCTGCCCTGTTATTTGCCTCTTTCATGAGCTCTGTGCAGAGGCTGGAAGGGGAGTGTTCCCAGCACAGGAGTTCTGGGAACAGCGGGCGCTGTGGCTGTGCTGCGGCTGCCGTTCAGTGGCAGCCACCTGGAACTGCATGAGGGCTGTCCCTTGGAGCTCGTTCCATCCCCCTTGGGCTCCAGTAAATCCCACAAAGGCCGTTATTCAGCTCCTGCCTGTGGTTTGTTCCAAGCATCCCCGTTCCCGTCACGCCAGGCTGGCCGCACAGTTCTGCTGGGGGGGACAGAGACTCGTTCTGAGGAGCGTGTGTGGTGTTCCTCACTCCCACAGGAAGTGGTGGATGGAGGAATGGGTGGCACTTAGCACTCGAGGGAGCAGAAAGTGATGTTTGAAAGGACAGATCCTGGCAGTGGAGAAGGGAACTCTCAGTCCTGTATTTGGGATTAGTTAGGGATTAATGTGTGTGAGAGATGGAGCGGGCAGAGATTGGGTTGGCATGACTGTCGTCGCTGAGGTGGGGCTCCAGAGAAGAGCCTTTCTGCATGGATTTGCCTGACTTACTGAGCTGGATGTGGAATCACAGGATTGTTTCAGTTGGAAAAGCCCTCTAAGATCACCCAGTCCAACCAGCACTGCCAAGCCCACCACTAAACCCTGTCCCCAGCTTTTAAATTCCTCCAGGAATACTGACTCCACCGCTTGACAACCCTTTCCATGAAGAGGTTTCTCCTAATATCCAGTCTAAACCTCCCCTGGCACAACATTTCCACTCGTTCTGTCACTTGCTACCTGGGAAAACAGGATATACCTCAAACCGCAGGATCACTCTGCCTTTTCTTCTTCTCTGCCTTCTGCTTCCAGTCTCATCACAAAGCCAGAGGTGAAAGGCAGTTTGCAGCTCATTGGAGCATGTTTCCCCACGTCCTCCTTAACTCGCTGACTGCCTGCCGTCATTCCCTGTGGTTCTTGGCCAGACGTCCAAGTCCTGGTCAAGTGGGGGAGTGCGATTGCACAAATGTCCTTGTGTCTCTCAGAACACAGCAGAAGGATCTATTTATTTGGCTTTGTTTTGCTTGATTATTTATATGGCTTTGTTTTTCCATGTTGTCCACTCATAGAGGCAGTTGGAGTTGATCACAGGCTGGGACTGACATCCCACCGCGTGTTGACCGTGCACTGTGTACAGGGAGGGTTGTTCACCTGGTTTCTCCTGCTCTTCCTCCCGCAGTTCATTCCCATGCCTGTGCTCTACGGTGTCTTCCTCTACATGGGTGTCGCGTCCCTCAACGGCGTGCAGGTGAGTCCCTCCAACATCACGGACAAGGTAGCAGTCATTAACCAGCACAGGGGCTCTCCCACAGCCCTCCAGCTTTTCACTTCTCCTTCACTGCCTCACCTTCCTTCCCAAGAAACCCAGGGAGGGTGGCAGCTGTCACAGCCATTGCACAACCTGGGTGTCCTGAGGTGAAGACCGAGGGAGAGCAGCCAAGTCTGCGCCAGGGGGTGGGTGCTTTGTGAAGACCCAGGTCCATCCTGGGCCTTGGAGCAACCTGGTCTAGTGAAAGGTGTCCCTGCCTGTGGCAGGGGGATTGGAACAAGATGGTCCTTAAGATCCCTTCCAACCCAGACCGTTCCAGGGTTCCACAGGCTTCCTCCCCAGCTCAGGCTCGCTCCCAGGGTGGTTCGGGTCCTCTGCCACAGACTGAAGGCAAACAAGGAGGATGATTTATGGCAGTGGGGTTATTCTGCAATGCTAACGAGCAGGAACATTGTTCTCTGGGGAGGGGAAGCCAAGCCCCTCTCTTTGTCATTGAGGAAATCTTACGTAAGGAGCCGTTCTCATGGCCAGCGCCTGTAGCTGGCCCAAGGAGGCTGGAAGTGGTTTTGTTGCTTTCTGGCACCCTGTTAAATATGGCCTTTCTTTTACTGCTGGGTTGTGCCCTAAGGGGAGGGGACTGCCTGTTCTGTGAGCTCCAGGAGAATTCCCTCGGGGGTTCTGCAAAACAGCCCCAGGTTCCATTCACTGGTGCAGGATCCGTCTGGTCCTGGCAGTGGGCAGCGAGCCCACCTCGGGCAGGGGACAACGCGGGGATTGTCCTGTTGGCCCTGGGGCTGGCTCTCCCGGAGGGGATTTCCCCTGCTCCTGGCCCAGGTGATCGGGGGACTGGGCAGATTGTTTCCCACTAATCAAATGTGTTTTTCACTGCATGAGAAATCCCCATTTTGGTTTAACTCCAAGTCCATCCGGTCCAGCACAGGGCAAAGTGGCACTGCTGGGAAAGCTGCCCGTCTTCCTCGCTCTTCGGCGAGGTGCTGCTCTGTTCTCTGGCAGTGTGGTGTCTGCCCTCTCCTCTGCTGACCTCTGCTCCTGATTTATTTGGAGAGAAGAAAAGCACTGTTCCTAAATGCTGAATGTCTTTACTTGGCAGCACCGGGGCAGGGGAGGGCAGCAGAAGTGCCCCAGAGTGTGATGCTGACCCTGGTTTGGCCATTCCTCTTGTTTTCTCTCTTTTTTGTGCATCCTGCATTTCATTTCACTGTCCCTTTCTTTTTTTTGCAGTTCATGGATCGTCTGAAGCTGCTCTTGATGCCTCTAAAACACCAGCCTGACTTTATCTACCTGCGCCACGTCCCTCTGCGCAGGGTCCACCTCTTCACCTTCCTGCAGGTGGTGTGCCTGGCCCTCCTCTGGATCCTCAAATCCACCGTGGCTGCTATCATATTCCCTGTCATGGTAGGTGATGCCCTCCATCACATCTGTCCCTCCCTCCCTTCTCCCTCACATCCCTCCCTTTCACAGCCTGCACCTTCCGCAGTCATTCCCTCCCATAAATGGGTAAATCCAACCTCTCCCTGCCAAATCCCTGGCTCAGGGCTCTGCTCATGGGACTGGTGTAGGACTGCATGGGGTCAGTGTGGCCGTGCCTGCCTTTACATAAATCCTCTGGAGGAAAACGAGCCTGGAAAGTTAATTTTTTCCCAGAAAGGTGTAGTTAGTGTTGACCGTTCCTGGCTGCCAAGGTTAGATTTGCCATGGTTTCTCCTTGAGCTGCATGAACCAAGGAGAGGAGCAGTTTTCCTGTTTTAGTCCACACTAATTACTGGATACAAAATGTCTCCCTGGCTTTTAAATAGCACAAATTGACAAAACCAAGAAGGAGACTCAGTGCTAAGAGGGGTGCCAGAGGGAGGGAAAGGATTAGAGGAAAAAAAGAAATGTCACTTTTCCTTGAACTTGAGTAAAAAGACCCTAATGTTTTTTCACATCAGAGGGTGATTATTCAGATCATTACTGGAGCTACAGACACAGGCGCTCTCTGGCTTGGAGATAGGTCAGACTGATGCAAAGGCAAAGCTTTATGAAACTCCTGAGTAAATTTGGACCCCCCCAGGTCACCTGATTTCAGGTTTATGGACAAGTAAAATCTCGGTTGTGTGGGCAGGTCCTTGCAGTGCTTATTTAAGGGACAGAAGGAGGGAGGGCAGAACCCAGATCAAGGACAAGCTGGTGAAATGAGAAAAGATGATGCAAGTAAAAAAATCCTCCAAATGTTACTTCTGGGACACATGCTTCTGTAAAAGGCGTTAAAAATCAGCAGTTCCCACTCTTCCCGTTCCATCGCTTTTCCATGTCTGTCTTGTGCTGCTGTTGGAAGCTGAATCTAAAATCTCTTTGCCCATAATAGAATCTGAGTGAAGCCCAGGTCTGCCAGACTTTGTTACAATAGTGCAAACTCAGGGAAGGCACAGCCACAGCTCTGATGGAGCTGGATATGATGGCAAAACCTCACTTAGCTGCACTCAGGAACCGAATTACTGTTAACTCCCAATTTGTGAGGATCCAGACAGTAGCCAACTCCCTGTTTATTTGGAGGAAAGGCATTTCAACATGGCAGTAATTCATAGTGGGATGATCACGGGTGTCTGCGTGGCATCTTTCCACCCCCTGAGTAATTCCTCACGTCTGTAATCGCGTCTTAAGTTATGCAAGTCAAAGCTTGAGATCCTTTCCTGGGAATTGTTTGTGCTGTTGATCACCATTGGTTGGCACAAACTTTTCCTTAAAGGCAGCCTGTTGGGAATGGGTTACAGCTTCCAGCCTGTCCATGTACCCCTTGGCAAAGCCTGTGTGGGATCTGATGGGGGTGTCAGACCCAGCGTCCGTGTAAACACCCATTTGAGACACATCCCTTCCTTTTTTCCCAATGCCTTCGATTGCAGTGTTGCACAGAACAAGCTTCTCCTCCAGTTCCCTGCAGCCATAATTTGAGTAAACTTTATTCTGCAAACTCTGGGGGCACAGATTGGCCCTTGTCTGATTTCTAAACAGCCCTTGCATCTGGGGAAGTGGTGAGAAGTAAGGCCAAGTTTTATTACTCAGGCTGCCCTGCAAACCTGCCTCCAAAAGTAAATGAAAACGCTCATTTTTTGTCTCTTTATTTTATTTATAATACAGGAGTATTGAGTGACTACATACTGTTTTGTGTCCATTGTTTATTCTGATGTTAAGCAGTCACAGCTCAGCCTCTGCAGTTGACAGATGTGTCCCAGGTGTTCACCACCTTATCTGTATGTTCATTTGCAGCCAGAATTCAAGTGGCTTAGAAGCAGCATTGAGAGGAAAGTGTTCCCAGTGAAAGGTAAAATGTGACTGGGAATCCCTCTCTGCCTTTGCAGATCCTGGCCCTGGTAGCAGTCAGAAAAGCCATGGACTACCTCTTCTCCCAGCATGACTTAAGCTTTCTTGACGACGTCATTCCAGAAAAGGACAAGAAGAAAAAAGAGGATGAGAAGAAGAAGAAAAAGAAGAAGGGCAGTATGGACAGTGACAATGATGATGTAAGGAGCTTTCTGCTCTTGTCACATTCCTCCTTCCTAGCTACCTAACCCCGGGCACAGTCCGTGCCCCTGCCCAGTGCCCTCTCGGAGCTGACAGCTCAGTCTTTTGCTGCTGCAGCAAACGGACCCCAAAGAAAACTTCTTTCCTACGTTGCCTTCCCTTTTCCAACCTGTGGTGGGTGGTTTGTGCATTGCCAGGAATGAGATCACACTTGCCAAGAGCAGTAGGTACCTGCTGGGATGTCATGCCCCTTGCTAGAATGCCTCTCATCACCCTGCCTCCTCCAGCTTCCCTCCTCCACCTTTCTCCCCATCGTTGTCTCTTACATTTTAGGAGGAGAATGCTTTTCACCAGCACCTTTGGTCCTTCTGGTTTTCTTTTTTTATTTTTTTATTCTTTTTTTTAAATTTTTGTAATGGTTCTTTTTTTTTTGAAAGCCCAAAAAAGATGTGACTGCTTTCTGTTGGTAATACTCATCATTTAAATATTTCCTGAGCATCCATGCCCTCTGCTGTACACTCTGGACCTACCTCAGGTTGCAGCATATCCTGAAATAGCAAAAAGTGACCTGACTAGACAAGACCCACGTGCCTTTGACTCTTCTGTTTCTTACTGTATATATCAGAAGAAGAAATATAGTCCTGGTGCCTTCAAATGTTAATGTGATCCTGCTCAGGTCTAACTCAAATCCTTTAAACTTATACTGAAGTGCTAAATACACTCCACGGAGAGTCCAAAGCACGACATCAGCACTTCTGCTCGTGTATCCACCCAGGGTCCATGAAGAAGGGCTTTCCCTGGGACGTAGGGAGAGGTAAGGTCCCCTGAAGCTGGAAAAGAATCCCGTTTTGTCACGGCAGGAGAAACAGCTGGGAGAATTGGCTCTTACTTCAGACAGCAAGCTCCCCTGTCCCGTCGTTCCTCCAGTTCCCAGGGTGAGGGTTTCCATCAGCACCTAAATTTGTGCAAACCAAAATGAGATTAAAAGAGGCCCTGCTGAGTAATCAGCAAAGGTTTGATTCTATCCCCTCCTCTTGACTGGTGTGCAACCAGCAGCTCCAGCCATGGCTCCCCTCTGTCCTGTATGTTTTAAGCTATCTCCTCTCTTCCCAGGCTTTTCCTGAATTCCAGGTACAGTAATTAATCTAGTGAGTAAGAGATTTTATGCAAAATGTTGGTTCTTAACTCTTGTTGGGTTTTTTTCAGCGCTTGCTTTTACCAGCTTCCTGAATGTACAGCTCTGGGCATTACTGGTTGGATTACTTTCCTTCTTTCCCTTCCAGAAATATCCACCCACAGGGTTAATCCTGTGGGATTTGGGGGGCAATTCACAGGTCTGAGTTCAGCCAAGGGAACTGCTGGGCGTTGCTAATGCTTTATTTGAGTTATGCTTGTCCCTCAGCCTCATAAAAGTAGTCCCAAGGAAACATCTTGCTGTTGGGAGTATGAAATAAGGCACTCGATGTCAGTTATGTTAAAAAATAACTTAAAATAAGAATAATAATCGAAGGAGAGCAATTCTCTGGCCTCCCTAGTGTTTTCCTGCCCTGACTGGAAGGTCTCCTCCCTCCACCCTGGCACTGTGGGTCTGGTTCTCTCCAGGAACAAAGATGTCCCAATGTTTCTTGCAAATCCCACCTTCCTGCCTTTGCCAAGTTAGGCAATATCAGCCTTTCCTTGGCTATGAGAAGTTCCCTTTATTTTTAAAAAAGCAGAATAATTCCAAGTACCATCTGCTAAGCATAAGCAGGTGGGTGACAGAAGGCAGTGGGGTGTAAGCCCTGCTGGTACCCCAGCTTTTCCCTTTGCCTCTTCCTGACCTGGTTGCTGTTTGTCCTGCCAGGCCAGGGATCCTGAATCCTTCCAAGAGTCCTGGACTTGATGAACTAGAGGTGTAACTGAGGCTGGGTTTTACCCAAATTAAAGAGAGGTCGCTGAGCCAGCCCAGCATATGGAACCTCTGCCCTCACAGAGCAAGTGGGAACAACTAAGGGGTTTTACAGAAATGCCAGTAGGATAAAGGG